ATATACCTCATGATCTTATTCTAAACTTAACAGTATTATCTAATTAATTTTTATTTATTTATTTAGTTAGTTAGTTAGTTTTTTGGAGACAGTGTCTCACTGTGTAGTACAGCCTGGCTTTGAACTCACTGTGTATCCCAGGCTGGCCTCAAACCCAGGTGATCCTCATGCCTCTGTGCTTCAGGGATTACAGGTGTGTACCACTAAAAGCCAAATTGCCCAGACTGGCCTTTAATTTACAGTCCTCCAGCCTTAGCCTCCAGACTAAGGTGATAGCACCATCATGCCTGGCATGAACCTGTGTTGTAAAGTACTGTAACTGTAGTGGTGAAGATTATGCCAAACACTTGCTGATTTTTTTTTTAAGTCACCAAATTGCACTGACTAGGCTTGAATTTGGGATTCTCCTTTCCTTCCAGAATACTAAGATTGCAGACATTCACCACTGTGCTTGCTTCCTATTAATTTTAATAAAGCCCTGCGTAGGTTGATATATTGTTTGTTGAAGAAGCCAGGTATCATGGTTTATGTCTGTGTCCCCCAGGCCTCATGAGTTTGCATTGTGCATTTGTGATTGGTTCATTGTCTAGCGCTTGGATTGATGGTGTCAGTGCTACACCCACATAGGGGTGGAGCCAGGATGTGATGTAATGGCAGGAAGAAGGTGTGTCTTGCTCTTTGCTAGTTCCTGTTGCTGTTTGTGGCTGCCATGAACTGCAGCCCAGCCATGCCCACCTGTCTTGGAGCCAACTGAGTGTGGACTGAAACCTCCAAAAACTGTAAGAAATAAACCTTTCCTTTCCCAACTTGGGCTTCAGGTATTTGGTCTCAGCAAGGAGCATAAAGTAACTAAGACACCAAGTATAAAGAATGTTAGAAAAATTGGTTAATGTTGAAATGCGTGAAGTTTTTATGAGGTATCCTATTAATAGTTCTTATTATTTTTTTCTTGAGCCTTGTAAACTGCTACCTATCTTATTAAATAGTGCTCATTAATCTGGGCCATGACGTACTACTGTTGTGTGTCTTAAAGGCAGATGTGTGGATTTCTTTATTGTGGCATGGTATGTATTAGGGTCAGGAGGAAGTTTTGACTCAAAACCTATTTTTTTTTAGATTATCTATTAATTTATAGTTAGACTTCTGCAAATAGATCTGAAGGATGAAGAAGCATTCTCTGTATCCGAATTTTACTGTATAGGTAGCAAGATAAGGTATTGTTTTATGTTCCTTAGTGTTATTTACTGTTTATTTTGCTTTCTGATTGTTTAGCACCTTTTAAGACTTTGTCTATGAATATCATTTTAGTCTCATGAACCCTACTTTTTTGCACCAAGGTGGTTTGCCTTTCTCAGAGGTCAGATATAGTCATGTCATCTGTAGTTTGCCTGTGTAGTGCATCTGTGGGAGCCTGCTGTGCAAAGCTAGCTGCTGGAGAAACGGTGCTCAGGCTGGAGCTCGCTTTCCTATATTTTCTTCACTGGGCTCCTTCCCTTCCTTCGTGAGGCACAATTACTGTTACCAATACTGTCCTTGTGTGTCTTTCCAAACTTTGCTTTATAAGCATACACTGATATTATCCATAAATTAAATTTTTTGTGGTACTAGGGATTGAACCTGGGACCTTTGCAGTGAGCTATGTCCCTAACATATTTTCTTTTTCATTTTGATAAAGGGTCTTGTTCAAGCACTAAATTGCCCAGGCTGGGCTTGAACTTTTGATCCTACCTCCTTAGCTTCCCAGTGTGCTTGAATTATAGATGTGTATGACCATATCCATCCATAAACTATTTAAAAAATATATTCAGGACGATTTTTTACAGACACAGATATTGAGAACATTTGATATTTATTTTTCCTGTTCCATGAATTATCTATTATATCTTTTGCTTATGTTTTAGCTTTTAAAAAGAATTACTTTTATTTTTTTTCCCCTGTAAGAATATTGGCCAGGTGTGGTGGCACATGCCTATAATTCCAGCACTTGGAAGGGGGAGGCAGGAAGATTGCTCTAAGTTAGAGGTCATCCTGGGCTACATATTAGCTCTTATGAGCGATCGGCCATATTGATTATACTTTGCCTCTGATTTTTCTTTAAAAATACCTCCGTATATAGTTCAGACTGACCTTGAACTCATTATATACTCCAAACTAACCTCAAACTTGTGGTGCTCCTTTGGCTTTAACTTCCTAGGTGTTGAGGTTACAGGCATGCACAACCATTTTTCTGTTTCTTCATACAGGGTTGTTTTTAGTTTTGGTTTTGTTTTGATAGGGTCTTGCTTTGTTGCCCAGGATAGGTTCAAACTCTGCTCAAGAGATCCTTCTGACTCAGCCTTCTGAGTAGCTGAGACTACAGGCATATGATGCTGTACCTAGCACAAATGCAAACATTTTAATATATACTTAGCAGTCAGTCACAGAGTGTTCCTTAACTCTTAGATTTTTTTCCTCTGCATGTGTTTTGCATGTTCAAGTAATCTGCCCATTGTTATACAGCTGGCAAGCCCATCCATTTGGTTCGAGCACATTCCCATGCCCAGGACTAGCGTCTTACACAACCTTCACACATGCAGAGCCTTAGGTCATCTGAGTTTGTTTTTGAAACTCAGTAGCAGACCACCTGCCTGGTAACTTTGTGTTTGGATGAGTATTCTCCTGGACATAAAGACTGAATTAAACCTCCTGTAAGAAAGAATACTCCCAACATTCCCCTTTTGTAAATAGTAAGCAGTTGTTGAGCCATCTCCTCCTAAGATATCATACTTCTAGCCACACTGTTGTGATTGCGAGAGCAGGCTTCAGAATCAAATGCTGGCTCTGCTGCTTACTAGCTGTGTGCCGAGAACACGTTACCCAACTGCTTTATTTCTTAGTTTCCTCATCTGTGAAAAAAATTAAAGAACCCATGTCTTTGGTTTGCAGTAACAGTGAGCTCAGGAAATGCAGCTGAAGTGTTTATAATAGAGCCTATTACTACTGGGTTAGTGAGTGTTACGTTAAAACATGGGTTTGCTTCCTACTTTAAGAGACAACACATGAATAGTGCTTGTCTTCCTGTCTTTTGCCTACAAACTTTAGGCAGTCCTTAGCTAATTACCATATGTAATTAAATCTTTCTTCTTTCACAGAGGCTGAAACGAGATTGACAAGCAGTGTTGAGGCCATTGGAGATTTGGATAGTTGTAGTCTCTTGAGTCATTTTGTTTTTGTCATACTCAGCATCTCAGCTCTCAGAGTGGAGATGAGTAGTACCTAGGTGAGCCTAGGATTTAGGGCCTTGTGTGGGGCCGGAGGGCTAGCAGAATAACAGGTAAGTACTAAGCTAAAGAGATCAGTTGAGCTGATGTAATGTGGGGCCTGTGTTAGGGAAGGAAATAAATGATGGTAGCAAGAAAAAGAAGGGAGGAATTGAGAGAAAACTCAAAACTGATAGGTTGAGATAATTATGTTTCTCTGAGAATTCTTCTAATTTTGAAATCTTCTCTTCCCTCTAAAGCCCTCAAACAATTGCAGTAACCTATGAGAAAAGCCTGGAGTAATTCAGGAACTGAACGTGTAAACATGTTTCCCTCTTTTTAGAGTAGAATTGACAACCAGTAATCAACAATAAATAGAACAAATCATAGTGATAGAAATTTGTTTTCCAACTTAATTTTCAAATTTTTCTTAATAGCATCTTCATTCTTTCAAATAGCTGTGTAATTCCCTGAGGGAAAAGAAGTAAAATTATTAAAAGACGGATATTGTCAAGCTTTTTTAAAAATTATGTTGAGTTTATTCAAGCTCTTATGTAAGAGTCATCTTGTTTTTTATCTAGGTTAGCCAGAATTAATGAGCTTACTGTTTGCTGAATTCAAAATTAATTTGGACACTTTTTACACTTCATTCCATTTGTGACAATATTTTGATGATTTGGCTAAGGCTACATTAATCTTTCTCAGTCATGTAGAATCTAGTTAGGCCTTTTGGTTTCTCATGGGCAGAGCATAAAGTGCTTGACAAAATTTGATCTGACAGCTTTACACTTATAGAACAGAAGCTTAAAAACAAACAAAAAAAGAGAAAGAATTGAAGGATTTATCTTAACCTATATCTTACCACTTCACTTGTCTCTTTAAACTGGAGCAGAACCATCATAACCCTAGTTGTTATGTAGCCTTAGATTTAGCAGGACTTTGAAAAAATGCATGAGAAGCTTTTGGAGGTGACAAGGTTTTAGGATTATCTTGTCTGACTGAATCACATTACCAGTGGGCACACCCAAGCCTGAAGAGGGGAAGTGCAGTACTTGCCTTGGAAAAGCTAAAGACGGGGTGGAACTGACCTGGGAACCAGGGTCACAGAAATTCAATTCCAGTGCTCTTTCTGGTACAATATGGAATAAACCAAGAATGGGTTATGATTTTACAAACGTAAATTTTGTATAACCATGATGTAATCCACTGATACTTGATTTTGCATATGGAATAAAAATAATTACATTGGAAGGTATAGCTGATTGCCTGGGTTCAGTTCTTCTGGCCCTGCTATTGGTGCGATGTGGTCAGGTCTCTTGAACCTCAAAGCTTTCTTGCTTCACTGATTAAGTAGGACTAATAGAAATGCTTGTCATATGTCAAATCCTGGCATATGGACACTTCAGTAAATGTTACCTGCTACTGCTAATCATTTAAAATTAATGAAAATTAGCATTCAGAGTGACTGTAGCAAAGTAAGGAATTTAATTAAGGACAGGTTGGTATGTGTGTGTGTAGGCTTCTGGAATTAGGGAAATAATTTATAATTTTTTTGTATTAAGAGTGGTGATGAATAGTGTTTTTATTTATTTTATTAGTTTTTTGGTTTTGGTGATTAAACTCAGGATTACGTGCCTGCCAGACAGGCACTGTGCCATATCTCTGGCCCTGTTTGTTAATTTTTATTTTATCTTACTTTGTTTTGTTTGGTGTCATGACATGTTATGTTACGTTATTTTGAGACAGGGTCTTGCTTTGTAGCTCAGACTGGCCTTGAACTCCTGACTAGACTCCTGCCTCGGCCTCTATGGAGCATTAGAATTACAGGTGTGTTCTTCCATGCCTGGCTGGGTTTTTTTTTGTAGTTGTTTTTTAAATTGTGTTTAGAAATCACAGCTTCTCTTTTTTTCTGGTTCTCTTTTGTGTGCAGATTTGAAGACCTAAGTAGTCACATGGAAACAGGATTGTTTTGCATTTGAATAACATTTTTGTATATTAAAAAAAACCTTCGACTAACAATAAAAAGTTATTTTTCTGTCCGGAAGTTTTAGGCACAAAGGGTAAGGAGTCCTGTTGCATGCTGCAGTTGCCTTCCACTGGCCTGAGTAAGGAGGCTTTGTGACAACAATCCCTCAGTGCAAGTTGCACTTTCTCCTGCGCTGATATCTGATAGTGAATTAGGTGCTTTTAGGTCAGACTCATGAACATTTATTTATTTATTTACTTCTTTATTTTTGATACTGGGATCGAACTCTCATATGAACATTAAAATAATGATAGGAATTTTAATGTTAGGAAAATATATAACCTAATCTGTCTAATCTAATAGAAACTTGTAGTTTAGGTCTAAATAGTTCAGGTGAATAAAATGTTTTTAAAAAAAGGCGAGTAGAAATTCTAATACATACATCCCCTTGGAAGAACCTTCAACCATCATACAGAACAGAATAAACAGGGACTCGAAAAGATAAAGTTAGCATCAGGTAGCCCGAGATGGAAGCTGGCTGTGTTGCCATCGCCTCACTGTTCCCTTCTGTTCTGTTTGGGGCAGACTCTTGCTCCGTAGCTCTCAGGCTGACCTTGAGCTCTCAGTCCTCCGGCCTCAGCTTTCTGAGTGCTGGGATCGCAGGCACATGCTAGATATTTCACAGCTAATGTGAACATTCATTCATCTCTTGCCACGCTGCTGAGCCATTTGAGAATGTTTTCACAACACTTTATTCAGGAACTTCAGTTTTTTTAGGGAAAGGGTTAGTGGAGAAATCAACCGTAACTATTTTCCTGGGCTCACCCTTACTAAAAACTGAGTCACTCCGTGAGACCAAAAAGCTCTTATGAAAATGATTTCTGAGAAGAATTATGGTGCTGTAAGTAAGGTGCGAAATGGAAGTGTTAGAAAGCAAACGAAGGGAGCAGGCCGAGAGTCCCAGCGCTCTGGGGACAGGCAGTCCAACTCTCCCTGGGCCACTGAGCAGCTTCCACGGCCCTGTCCCAAAACATAAAAAGGCTGGTGGCTGCAGCTGTGGCTTCAGTCCTCAGTACCAAACAAGAACATGGAACACAATGGGGAGCAAGAAAGCAAAAGAAGAAATAAACAAGCAAAGCCTTTGGAATACGCCTGCGTTTTTACCTGATGCCACAGGTAATTCTCTTTTGACCCAGGAATTCACAAAATGTTCTCCCTGAGGAAAAATAAATATATATTACTAATTGTTTAGCTTAGTTGATACACACCTATCTAGGAATAAGACCTGAAACCATTCTTCTCCTGCCATGAACAGTTTCGTTAGGCAGAATAGCAGAGTTGTTAAAGAAGCATATCCTTAATTGAATTAGGGAATTTTTAAAATTTTTTGAACTGGAAGTTGAACCCAGGCCTTTGCATTGAGTTATCTCCCTTCCCCTTTTTAAAATTTTAAGGCAAAGTTTCACTAAATTGTTAAATTTCTAGGCTAGGCTCAACTTTTGATCCTCCTGCCTCAGCCTTCCAGAGTGCTGGGATTACAAATGCATGGCACCCAGCTAGAAAATGTTTTTAATGCAGTTTAAAACAACAGCAGTGAAATGTTTACCCGAACTCAGGAGGAAACTTCCTGAAGGCCCCTTTTCACAGCTTACAAACAGAACTGCGTTTGATACCACAGAATTTTGATTAATTAAGAAAGATCTAACAAGGAAAGTGAACTCAGAAGAGTTATATACTGAGCAACTAATCCCTCTGAGATAACTGCACCCAGATTTCTTCCTCCTCTACTTTTCATGCATGTTGTTGTTTTGTTCTATTTTTGTTTTTTTTTTTTTTTTTTGAGACAGGGTCTCAAGTCCAAGCTGGCCTTGAATTCACTATATAGCACAGGCTGACCTCAAATAGCGATCCTTCTGCCTCAGTCTGCTGAGTGCCGGGATTCCAGGCATGTGCCACCATGCTTGGCATTCAGCCCATGCTCTTTACAGGGTTTTGGTCTTCTGATTCACATAGCCAATAAATCTTTGTAGTTTCAGCCAGTTTGACCTGGGCTTCTGCTCACTTCCTGTAACCCTGACTGCTGCAGGTTAAAGTCCCAGCAGGAGCCCTCAGTGGTAGTGATGCCAGGCCAGGGCACCTTACTAGCAGCAGAGGTGCCAGGAGCATGGCCTCAGCTGCAGAGTGATGATCAGAAGGACAGGCAGAGCTGTCAAAGGCCAGCTTTCTCCAGTCCCTAGAAAAGGGACTGCTAAGTGTTCTGGAGTAGCAAAAGGATGTAAAAGATCATTTTCTTTTCTTTAACTACTCTGCAGATGAAAGGCAGAAGAATCCAAAGAGAAAGGAAAGAAGAAAAAACTCACAACATAAAAAGAATGCCTCTCCACTTGGGATTCAGGTACTAGGCAATCAAAAAAAGACAGACTGAGGAAATAATTCTCATTTATGTTACCATCACGCCAACAAATCCCTGGTAGCTTTGAATATACTGAGCAGTTTCCTCTGAGGACTTCTTACTTTGAAGAAATTCACATCTGTAATTTAAAATGTAATTAAACTTTACACTGTGACATAAATGTTGTGGATCACATTAAACATAATGAACATGTTGAAGTCAGCCTTCTATAAAACTGTCAAAATGTTTTACCACTAAACCTACTTTGAGAACTGTCACTGTTTTGATGAGAGTTACTATTCTTATCAGCAATAACATGTGTGATTATTTAAAAGTAAATCTGAAGATTATCTCCCCCCCAACTCACAAAACCAACCTATAATATCTATTGTTTCATAATTTATTCTACAGATTTTCAAACAAGACCTTATCTAATCTGAGGCATTACAATGTTTTTTGTTTGCATGTTTGTTTGTTTTTGCAGTGCTGGGAATTAAACCCAGAGCCTCCTGTATTTTAGACAAGAGCTGTACCACTGACCTACACATATCTCCGCCCCTTTTTGTCTCCTCTTTTGAGGTTAGGTCTTGCTGTATTGCCCAGGCAGGCCCTGAAGCTCTGATGCTCCTACATCAGCCACTCAAACAACTGGGATTACAAGTATGCGCGCCACCACACCTAGTTATTTTAAAAGGCTTGGATACATCTGTTATAGTTCATGTTGCTTTTTCTACTTAGCCTATCATAGTTACCCTCCCTTTTTGTTTGCGTGGGTGCCCAGTACAAGATGACTTACAGATGTAAATACCTGCCCAGTCCTTGTAGGGCTGATCCAGAATCTAACCAGCAACTTTCTCACAAGCAGTAGACAGAGGTTGTTCAAGAAAAGAGAACCTGAACCTGGTCAAACAACTAATCCAAGGGTCAGGTTATTGGAACAGAGAAACTAGAGGAACACAGCCCAGTGTAGTGGTGCACATCTATAATCCCAGCAGTCAGGAGGCTGAGACAAAAGGATCGCCATGATTTTGAGGCCACCTAGGTTACACAGTGAGTCCAAGGCCAACTTGAACTACATAGTGGGACCCGTCTCAAAAAAAAAAAAAAAAAAGTAGGAAATACTAACTTGTGTCACAGAAACACAGTCAGCCAAATCTGGAGAACAGGCAACTTTACATGGCAGAGAATTTAGATTCTTTCCTGAATTAATGGGTGGGGGAGATGGTGAAGGTGATGAGTAAAAACTGCAAGAGAAAGAGAGAGGGTGGGGGCGCTGGAGCTCTGACTCGGTTGGTATGTTTCAAGAAGACTTAGTGATATTGTAGTTATGGTTTTTAAGTCATATTCTTAGCAGTTAGTTATGTACTAAAATAATAATATGAGCTAGCTGGGGTTGGCTTTACAATAATCTGGCTAATATTAATTCCAGGGGGAGAAAGGTGGGCGACATATGATTTGGCCATGTGTTGAAACAAACATTCACTATATTATTCTCTCCACAATTAAAGCTTAAAAATTTACTAAACTGATCTATATGTGGTACAAACAAAGTCATGTAGAAGATACTAGTAATGATAGTATTAAAAATAGTCAAAATATAAAAAATAAATACATTTTATTCTCTCTCTCTTTCTCTCTTTTGAGACAGGGTCTCACTATGTAGCTAGGCTGGATTCAGACTCAGTGATCTGCCTGCCTCAGCCTCCCAAGTGCTAGGACCACAGCCATGCATCACCACATCTGGCTAACAGTTTTCTTTTCTAAGCAGGGAACTTAAAGACCACTGTAGTAATAAAAGCTGAGTTTCTGATAGAAAACATTTTCATTCAGAGCATTTTCACAAGTGTGTAAAATGATTTATAATAATATTTTATTTTATTTTACTTTTAGATAGAGTCACTATGTTATTCAGGCTCGTCTTGAACTGAGTATGTCCAGCCAGGCTGGTCTTAAACTTAAGGCAAAATCCTCCTGCCTCAGCTTCCCCAGTGCTGAGATTACAGGCATGTGCTGCCACACTTAGCTGTAAGTTTTGTTGTTGTTTTGCTGTGTTGGGAGGGTTTTTTTCTTTTTTCTTTTTTTCCTTGACACAAGGTCTTGCTACATAGTGCAGGCTGATCTTGACCTCACTATGTAGTCCAGACTGGCCTCAGACTTCAAACTTCTGGCAATCCTCCTGCCTCAGCTTCCTAACATGTGCTACCGTGTCCAGCCGAGCTGTAATGTCTTACACATTTTACTTACTTTCTAACTTCCTTTTCAGTCACTGTTCATTAGGCCTATGCAAAGTATCTTCCTAATAAGGTGAATCATGGAAACTTCTACCTGGCAAAACATACCTTGGTATTTGGCATAATAAAACAATGTTCAAAAACTGTTTAGGGTCACAAACTTCAACCTTCTCATGGTATAACTAGGCCTCTTCCACCTGGATAATTCTGGGTGGTCCGATTTTGGAGAGGGAGTAATTCAACCCGAAGTGGATACTCAGCAAGGTTCTTTGTCTTTGTCTCTATAAAAACTAAAAAACGTAGAGGGGTGTGTTTCTACACACCTGTAATCACAGCTACTGAGGAGGCTGAAGCTAGAGGACTCCAAGTTTGATCCTAGCCTTGGCAACTTAGTAAGGCCCTGTCTCAAAATTAAAATATAAAATGAAAGGCTCAGTGGTAGAGCATCCCCGGGCTTCAATCCCCAGCACTGCCAGGTAAAACCAACAAAGCAAAATGACACAAACAAAGGAAAAAAGCACAGCACAACAGCAGACCTGATCAGTGTTAGCAGAAAAACACGCAAGCACTTACTTGGGAAACCACCTGGCATGTTCCTGCCAGGGGTCGTCCCCTTCTTCCCAGTTTCCTAAGCATCCGCCGCAGGAGAAGCACTGCACGGTGTCCCTGTGACCTGTGGACACAGGACAGCGGCTCAGGGGCCAGCAGCGGCCCTGAGGGGCTCCCGGAGGTGACAGCTCTCCTCAGGGCCCAGCTGCCCCGCGTGCTGTTCCTCCAGGAGCGCTCGGCCACCCGGTCAGCCCTGCTGCGCCCCGCGAGCCCCGGCCTACGCACATCCAGTCCACTGAACTCCGCAGCTACAAACCCTCGCTGTTAGTTTCTCCACGCTGATTCTGTAAAATGCAGGCCCTTTTTTTGATTCTTGGTGAAAACAAAAACTGAAAGATCTCTGAGTCTTGATGAAAACAACTGTGACTTGGGAAAGAAAGGGGCAAATGGGTTGGTGCGGAATTAGAGTTCATCCATGCCTCGCATGAAGCAGCCGCTCAGTAAGCCACGGTCGCTCTTAGGAAGCCTCGGTCTCCTGTCACCATCCATGGTGAGGCCAAGACATAAACACACAGGCGCCGGGACGGAGTTCAGCGGCACACGCACCTGCCTGGCAAGTGTGACATTGTGTTCGATCCCCTGTACCGAGAGAGACAGAGACAGACAGAGAGACAGAGATACAGAGACAGAGAGACAGAGAGATTGATTTTAAAAAACCTTCAAAACCTGTAGGAATTTTAAAAATCAAAGAAAGCTTATGTGAGAGCAGTGAAGAGCTCCTCATTCATGAGGAGACTGGATTGAACAGCAGTATCAGGCTAAAGAACATAGTCTGTGTCACCTAAGGCCCCTATATATGGAAAGATAGTCTTCTAGTTTTATATACCTTTGACGAATTAACACAAGGTGCACAAAACATCAAGAAAAATTACTGAAGTGGAATTTGGGGGGGGGTTGCTTGCTTTTGTTTGTTTATTTATTTATTGAGTCAGGGTCATGCTATGTAGTCCAGGCTGGCTTTTAACTCACTGTGTAGCCCAGACTGGCTTAAAATTCTGGGCAATCCTCCTGTTTCAGCCTTGCAAGTGCAGGATTACAGGCCTGTACCACCACACTCTGCTTGAAGCAGAATTTTAACAAAACAGATTTTTGTCTAATACAACACATTGAGCAAGCAATGAAGGATTCACAAAGCAGCTCAACAGCAACCAAAGCATGGAACCTCAAGTTAAAACTTGGGGAGAAGCCCTGTAGGAGATGATTTCAAGTTACCTGTAAAGACCAAGCCAGAAGCTGCGAGGCCCTGCGGGGACACTGCGTGGACGCAGAAGGGCCAGTCCTGGAAGGACGCGAGCCTGGCCTCCTGCTCGCAGTACCTCGTCGGCCACCGCTCGGCTCCTCCACTGGGGTCTTCACCTGCACATCGTACTTGCCCATGTTGCCCACGTCCCTGCCCAGCAGGAACTGGCAGCTGGGGCGTAACTCCCTGCGATGCTCCACGGGGACCCTCCCGCAGCTGCAGCCGCAGAGGACCAAGCTGCAGCAGAAGCACTGAACCCGGACTTGGGCTTCACCCGGTGCAGTAAAAGCCTGCTGCTGCCATGTCCTGCGGCGTGCAGGAGCTGTACGGTGGCAGGTGGCGACGGTCCTCGGCCGGCGGCCTTGCTACACGTCTGGGGTTGCAGCCCTCACTCATCCGCCTGCTCTCTGTGCTCCTCCTCCTGCAGCTTCAGCAAGGCCACGGCGTCCACGCCCAGGAGCGCCCACATTTCCGGGGCCAGGCCTCGTCAAACTGGAGATCCTCTTCTCCGCCTCGTCCAGGGCGCTCATTTTCTGAAACAAGAGTTAGCGTCCCTGTCAAGGAGGCACAAACGCAGGAGAAAGCTGTGCTCCAGAGCAACGGTTTGATGAAATTACTCGTTTTTAAAACGACGTTGTTCTCACTGTGTCCACTTTCCAAGCAGTAGTGCTCTGTCCCCAAGCTCAAGAGGCCCCATAATTATGGCTATAGATGCTATGCATTTCATTTTATAAACTACTTACCTAATCAAAAATTATAAAACATCATCATATTGATAAATACATAGCTCTTTGTGCTTTTGAATGGCTTCATGTAGGACACTTAGGTTGTTGCCATTTTTCTCTTCATCAACAAAGTTCAATACGCTTTAAACAAAGTCTTTGTTCTTAATCTTTATTTCCCAGGCTACATTTCCCAAAGAATAATGACTGAGGCAGTCACACCCTTTTTGGACTCCTGGAGTTTTTTGGTTGAACTGGGGGTTGAACACAGGGCTTTTCATTGAGCTACATCCCAGGCTTTTTAATCTTTTTACTTTTGAGACAGGGTCTTGCTAAGTAGTTAAGTTGCCCAGGCCAGCCTTGAACCTGTGATCCTCCTGCCTCAGCTTCCCAGAGTGCTGGGATCACAGGTGTTCACTATCACCCCCAGATTCTACCATATTTTTTTAATAAACAGTTCATTATACTAGAACATCTGCATCTACTATGTTCTTAACTAGGGCTGAATCTCTTGGCTGTTTCCTAAATATCTTGTACTGTTACCAAGTGAATACATAGTTGGGTAGGCTTAAATAATTGTAAAGATTCTCAGGTGAGTGTGGTAGCACATGCCTGTAATCCCCGCACTCAGAAGGCTGAGGCAGGAGGGTTGCTGCAAGTTCCAGGCCATGAGTTCAAGGCCAGCCTTAACTATATAGTGAGACCCTGTCTCAAAAAAGGCCAAAAAAAAAAAAAAAAAGGATTCCCATCTTACATTACTCATTAAAATCAGATGAAGACCAGATTTTCTGCATGAAATCTTTTCTTAAAGGGTTGGGCAAGGGATGTGTTAATTCAGATATCATGTTTATTCTAACAATGTGACAATGAAAGATGATACAACACTTAAAGTTTGCTCTTAGAACGTCCAACTTTGAGTCACTCCCTACTTTTTAAATCACAACTTTATTGAGATATAATCAACATACCATAAATCACCCATTTAAAATTTATTACTTAATAGAGCTGAACGTAGTCGTAGACTTGTGCAGTCATCCCCACAATCAATTTTAAACTTATCCCTCTCCAAAGAAATGCTGTATTCATTAGCAGTAGCTTCCTATGTTTCCTACACCCACCCAGCCCTATTCCAGGACTAATGTACTCTCTATATATTTATTTTGAGCCAGATGCAAGGGCACACACTTGCAATCCCAGCAATGAGGGGGCTGAGGCAGAAGGATCACTGCAAGTTCAAGGCCAGTGTGGTCTATATAACGAACGAGTTCAAAACAAGCCTGAACTACATGAGAGACCCTATCTCAAAAAAATCAAAAGGAAAGAAAAATTCAATAATAACAAGAAATATACTTATTGCCAACATTTCATATGAATCATACAACATGTGGTCTTTGAGGGCTGGGGATGTAGCTCAATGGCACAGCGCCTGCCTGGCAAGCGCAAGGTGCTGAGTTTGATTCTTGGTACCAGGAAAAAAAAAAAAACGCTTTGTAATCTGAGCAAGTGCTTTGAAGACAATGCCACACAATATGTTTACCATTGTTAATCTCCTATTATTGTGTCTTGAAATTCTCTATCATTTTTCTCTTAAACAGTAATGTTTGTTTTTCCTAAACAATTGATGTCTAGGCACATTCGTTTTAACGTTAAGGGTCAGCCTGGGGTCTCACCTATTAGGTACTAGGGTAGCGTTCCTTTTCGTGGTCAAACCCTGCTCCGTTCTGTGGCTGTGTTACATTTCATCTCCCTACCTGTCCACACCGGGTTTGTTTACACTCGGGGCTGTGAACAGCGCTAAAGTGCACTCTGAGCACGTGTTACCTGTGGAAGTGTCTCGCTCCTGCAGCCACAGCGGCACTGTCCCATCACATTCACAGGATGGGCACCCCCTGACTTCTCATCAGCAGGCCTGCACGCAGCAACGCGTTTGTGTTCCGGCCCCAAATGCCAGTGAGGTTTTCCCGCCACTCTCAGGCTATTTTATCTTTGCCAGTACAAAGGTCCTCAGGTTCCTGGCAAGGGCAGCACCAGAACTCACCAGCCTCTTCTTCACAGCAGATTGCTTTGAAGGGACAGTAGTTTTGGCTTTTGTGTCATTACAGGGTTTATTTGCTAGTAAATTAGGAATCTATTGTGGTCTTGGACGGTATGAGGAGAGGTTGGAGCAGACAGACCACCTAACCGCTCCATCAGTGGTGGTGAGTCTGTGGCGTGCTTATTGCTGTGTTGTTTTTTTAAAGACAAAACACAGTAATGTTTAAGTTGTTTTTCCTAAATTAAAACCTCAGTACTCAGATTTAATTGCAGTGCTGGCATTTTGTGATAAACAAATGGGTTTGGAGTTGTACTTTGTTTTTTATTTTTCTTTTTATGTTTATTTATTTTTGGTACCAGGGATCAAACTCACGATCTCATGTTTGCTAGGCAGCGCTTACACTGCTGAGCTAAATCCCTAATCCTGCTTTGTTTTTTACAGGGTCTCTCTGCATAGTTCGGGCTGAACTTGAACTCATGGTGATCCCCTTGCCTCTGCCTCCTGAGTGCTGGGACTATAGGTGTGTGCCACCATGCCCACATAGGATTGCAGGTTGGCACTCATCTTTAAAAGGTTCATCATTAAAGAGATGCAAATGTGGCTGGGGATTTAGCTCAGTGGCACAAGTGCTTGCCCGGCAAGTGTAAGGTCATGAGTTCAATCCCCAGTATAGAGAGAAAGAGAGAGAGAGAGAGGCTAACAAATGCTGGTGGGGTTATGGGGAAAAGGAACCCTTCTCCACTGCTGGTGGAAGTGTAGACTGGTATAATCACTGTGGAGATCAGTGTGGAGATTCCTCAAAAAACTAGGACTATAGGTCCCATTCAATCCAGCTATTACCCTTCTGGGTACCTTCCCAGAAGAATTAAAAAGATCATACATAGTAATATATGTGCCCCCATGTTTATAGTAGCACAATTTGTAATAGCTAAATCTTTGAAATAACCCAAATGCCCATCAGGCGAGGAATGGGTAAAAAGAGATGTGATATTTTTATACAATGGAGCAGGACTCAGTCATAAAGAAAGTTAGGCTTGAGACATCTCTAGGTAAATGGATGTAACTCAAGACCATACTCATATGTGAAATAAATCAGACTCACATGTGTAAACATCATATGCTCCTGGTTTGAGAAACTGAAAGAGTAAATAAGGTCCAAAATTTACAATATTGTGAAATGGGAAGAACCTGTTCAATAGGAAAGAGGAACTAGGGTGGGGGAAAGAGGAAAAGAAGGAAAGGTAAAGGAAAAAAATTACAAGATGGTTATACTACTAGTTTCTCTAGTTCATTGAAAAGAAAGGCTTGTGCTCATACCATTTGGAAAATTTTTTACATGCATATCTTGTACTCTGCATAACTATTTAAATATAACAATATACAATGTGTTAACTATTGTTATATAACAATATACAATGTGTTAACTATTGTCATTTTGCTTTGAAATTTTTTTCATAAAATATACTATTAAAAAACAAAAGATTCACCACAGCACTATATAAACCATCTTATGGTGATATGTTAACATTTTGCTGTGCCTCCATTTTCATGTTTTTTGCCTTCCTTTTTCATGTTATTTCCTTGTTTTATTTTGATGTGATGGGGCCTGAGGCCAGGGCTTTGCACTTGCTAGGAAAATGCTTCACCACCAAGCTACCCCCCGGCCCTTTCATGCCACTCTAATTATCCATCAGAACACTTCCACCTGACTGGCTAGTCCCGACATTTTAAAATCTCTTTTATTCAACTGTTTCCTTTCTCAGGGACAGTACTGATCTCACACACGCAGAGCAGATGGGCTGCTCTTCTGCAATGGTCCCTCCGCTCCTCTCCCAACATGAGGAGTCTGAGTGGTCAGAGGCCTCCTGTCACAGTGTCTCTTAGGTCAAAGATGTGAAATCAGGAGCCCTAGTAGCATGATGGAACCAGTTCAAAGGTCCTTGTTCGCATTCTTAACATTTCAGCCACCTCACTCATAGGTAAAGTTAAGTGATGGATTTCCTCTACCCAGAATGTTACCTAGCTCATCCGATTTGGAATTTGCCCATCACCCGCACTTCTGTAAAAGCTGCTGTTAGTTGAAGTTTTATATTAAGACCAAGCATTGCCTTTCATTTGAAGCACCATGAGATGGTACCTAATCAAAAGGAAAGAGCTTCTTTGTCTCTGGTAAGGTTCATTATAGCAGTGGTTCTTCAGGAAGCACTCTACATCACTCCACAGTTTATCTTGCTTTAAATGGTTCTTTCTGTTGTCTCGTGATGGTCTCTTCAGACAGCGAGTCTTTGGTGATCACCCATAGGAGGACAGGCAGGTCCCCATCAGACCAGCACTTTAGTAGTAGCAGGAGGAACTGTCAGGTGGACACTCTTCCTTGCTCACTTTGTTTTCACAACACTAGCAAACATACAGGATTCTTGGCTAACTTCCTCTGAACTTAGCTATTTCCTCTGGCTTTTGAGCTACCACATTCAGGTTCTACTGAGAAGTGTTTCCTCTTAAAAGGAACTTAAGTACTTGAGTGAACTCAAACCAGCAACCAGCCTGGCACCAACAGTGTGAAACATTTCTCCCTCCCAGATAAAGTCTCTGATATCATTTAACTTATAAAGTGGCAGACTGCAGGGGAAGAGAACAAGAAGTCACCAGGAAGCAAGCCCTTTCTGCAAATAGGTGCCATGCATGGGCTGGTGGGGGAGAGCCAGATGCCAGCCCTTACCAGCACACAGGCTGGGAAACAACAGTCAAATAACATCCCCTTTCCCACTGTAAGGAACTGGCTGAACCAGAGAAGCACAGGCTGCAATGATGGACACTGAGGTAAAATACAACTTCATGCTTTTAGTGTTTAGTTTCTCAGTGACTTTGCAGGTCTAAACCTGGTAGTCTGATCATTGATTCAAAGAATAAAAATATACAATACAGCATCTATAGGGGATCTCCTTCTGAAGGTGGTAGCCATTGTTAATTCTCACTATCTTGTTGTGAAGTTCTGTGTCACTTTCATTGCTTTGTTGGGTTGGGTTTTATTCTGTTTTGTTTGATTTTATTATATCTGATGGCTTGGGCAGCTATTTCAAGAATGACAAGATATATTATTGCAGTCATCTTATATTTACTATTATCTTGTTTTGAAGTCCTTTATTACATTCATTGTTTTGCTTTTGTTGGTTCTATTCTGTTCTGTTCTGTTTGGTTTTTATTATGTCTAAAATATTTTGAAGACAATAAGAGGTATTATGGTAACCATTGTTGATTTCCTATTGTTTTGAAGTTCTGTGTCACACTGGTTTGATTTGATTGGTTTTATTCTGTTTTATTTTGCTTGGTTTTATTCTCTTTAAAATAAAAATGTTATAAAGTAAAACATTCATTTCAATGATCCTATTCGCAGTACCATCTTCAGCAATGACAAAAGGTTGAACAATCGACAGAAACTCATGAGGCTCTCTGTAGTACACCTACCTAAGGCTTTGATGAAGCTCCAAACTCGCGCCAGACCAAAGGAAGCACCAGGCGCAGCTTAGTTCCTGGGAGCCTTTCTTAGTCCCATGAGACCAGCTTCATCTCTAATAACAAACCACTCTGATGTAAACTCTGATCACAGCTCCTCCAACGTGCCCTGGTCTCTCACACTTAGCCAGTGTCCCATTAATCAAGTCTTGGGACATTCATTCCACTTGGCCAGTGAATGCCCACAAAGCTGGGGCCTCCCCAGAGATAATTAAGCACAAGCTCACAGCACTCTGACTGAGATCAGCATTGTGAGTGGCCAATTTTGCTAGTCCTGGGACCATTTCCAGGGAGAAAAGATGATTTTTGGAGGCCCTTTCCAGACCTGATGTTCTTTGACTAAAAGTATTAAGAACACCAACAGGGAAAATATGTCACAGAACTAGGATTTAAACCCACGTCTATGTGATCCCAGGGTCTGTCCTGCCTCTTCCCCACCAGGCTGCCTCCAAAGAGAGAAACAAGAACACACACAGACAGAAGAGCCAGGATTGTGCAGTGCTTTCTTGGAGGAGGCTGAAGCAGCAGCTGTAACCCCTGGCCTTTGGGATCAGGGGGTCTCCATGGGGCTCTGAAGGCACACAGCCCCCTCACTTCTTGTGAACAGTGTGGACTTGCTGGCCAGACAGGTGGCCTGCCTTCCGGAGCAACCAGTAAAGGTGGGCAGGGCTGCCACTGTGATCCCCTTGACAAGGCCTTGCAAACATTTAAGGATCAAGTGTTGGAAACCTGGACTGCATTTCTGTGCTGGTTATGAACTGCAGCAGGATCACTATCTGAGAAGGTATTCTGTCCTTTCCAGGGCCTCTTTGGGGTTCACATGTTAGGGTCACTGCATGTGTTCCCGCCTTCCCACAGGGGGTGCACAGAAGGGTGGGACCTTCAATGCCAGAGGCACCACACCTCTCCAGTAGGCTTGTGCAGCAAGAGTCAGGCCTCAGGGAGCCATGGGCTCTTTCTTCTGCACAGGGCAGAGTTGAGCCTGGGTCCCCATCACTTCCTAACACAGGACGGATCCTTGGAGCACTCAGGAGGAAACTGGAACCCTTTTCTCAAATGATTGTTTCTTGTAAAGGGCTGGAATGTCTTTTTTGATTACAGACACTATAGAAGCTTAGAGCAAAAGCCTGTACAGTCACTCCCTAGACAGCGATGCAGCCACATCTGCAGCCTGACCTATGTGTGCACTCTGAGTCTTCTGAAGGCCACGAGCCTCTTCCACATCTGTACTATGTGGCAGGGCACTGGTGATATTACAGAGCCTCTCTACCCAGGAATCTGTGCTGACAGTTTCACCGGCACAGCAGAGGTGCCCAGGAAGTGTCACCATGCATAAAGGCTGTAACTGCTCACCTCGGCTGTGTTCACAGACACCAAATAGGGCTCACCGTGCGGCTGCTTGGGTGCAGCTGCCAAATGCTGGCTCCCTGCTCTCTGGCAGCGCCAGCTCTCCTGTGGTTTCGCCAGGCTATGGGTTTTGACCAAACTGGATTGTGAAATCTCTCTTGAAACTCATTTTCAAAGTTATGCATGAAGCAGAGCATTTATGGTCTTTGCCCATTTGTATCCCTTGCCTGCATTTACATTACGCATTTCCCCTTGTAGATCTCAACACGTCCTGATGGTGGCAGTGCGTCTGTCGACTCTTTCATCATTTCCCTGTAACGTAAACAGTTTTATATTTTGTACATATTCAACTTTATAATGTCCTTTAAAATATTTAAAAATACTACATGTCTGAAAAGAAAAGCTTGTGCTAATATTGTTTGAACAATGAAAAGCAAGTATCTCGTACTTAGAGTAACTAATTTAAAGATACCAATGGCAATGTATTAACCATTGTTACCCTCTTCTCTTGTTTTGAAATTTTATTTTCTTATCTTTAAAATTGAAAAAGAATACTAAGTGTCAGAATATTTGTATATTTGTGTCACATGACCCTTTGTGAAAATGTACGTGGCTCCTCTGCCGGGCATCTACCTGGGAACACTAAATTGTGTGTGCTTGCCTTTCTTCCAGAGCCTGCAATAGTTAACCTGCCCTTCTCTGTGCTAGCATCATTAAAGATGGCTGCCCCTTTAAAACATAAAAAAAAGAGCAGGAATGGGAAGAGCCAGTGGAGATGTGGAAGAAGCATTTCTGCTCACCAAATGGACGGTCCCCAGGTCCTGGTTCCTGGAGGGAGAGCGCTGGCTGAAGAAAGAAGAATGAGAGGGTGCATCTCAAGGGAAGATGCCCTGTGCTTCTCCAGTAACAGGGAGCAGAGTTTTAGGGGAGGAACTGAAAGTGAAAACAAATGGCACATTGGAGAGCTTACTGGTACGGTCTTGAGGAAGCAGGGTCAGTCTGGACTCTACAGGAAGCACGAAACCGACCAAGTCTTGCACCACAAAGTAGAGTCCACCAAACAAATGTATACCCACTTCAGGAAAAGAAAATGGCACACTCTTTCCTCCACAGATGGGGTCACCCTCATGTGAGAGATGCTAGAGGATGCCACGCATCACAGAAAACCCACTGCACCGCCGGCCCTGAGAGGAGAAATCAAAAATGTGTGTGCAGCAATCTCAGTGACTAAGGTGACACACACACGGGTTTGCTGTAGTAATAAATGTCAGGAAGCTGGTGGACACCACTGAGAGCGCCTTTTGTAACTGTAGAGGCCAAAGGTAAAAAGGTAACGTACTAATCTCATGATGTCTGAATACATTTCGTATTAAAATATTTATATAAGTTTTGGGCTTGGGATACAGCTCAGTGGCACAATTCCTGCCTGGCAAGAGTAAGGTCATGAGTTTGATTCCTGGTGTAAAAAAATTATATGAATTTTTCTTTTCCTAAAGTGTACGCACATTTTTTATTTTTGTCTTTTTTGTTTTTATTGGTACCAGGGATCAAACTCACGACTGCACACTTGCAAGGCAGGTGCTTATGCCACTGAGCTAAATCCCCAGCCCCATGTACACACATTTTTTTGGTGAACTCTACTTATTCTGAAGTTGGTAAAGATTGGTTGTTACGTTGTTGGTGTGTTTTTCTTTGATGGTGACAAGTTTCTACTCTGGTATCTTTTAGGATTTTCTTTTTAACTTTGAGGTTATAAAATTCCCAAATATTGTGTCTAGGTATAGGGTTTCTGTTTTGTTTTGTTTTGTTTTGTTTGAATCAGGGTCTTATTATGTAGTTTAGGCTACCCTTGAAGTCATCATGTGGGGGGGAGTAAAATTTATAGAGATCCTCCTGCCTCAGTCTCTCAAGTCACCTTCTATCATTTCTTTGCCAATTTGCCTTTTTTGGGGGGTATTCTCACTTGTTAGGTGGGAATTTAGTCGGTCACTTATGTTTTTTTTCCTCACACATATTCTTAGTGGTTTTGCCCTAATTACTGGATTTCCTCTTTTATTTTCCAATATTTCAATATTTTAAAATTTTACCAATTTCCCACAGTTCTCATCTTCTTTTCCATTTTTTCACATCTAATTTTTCTTATCCAATGCAAACTTCTTGAATGTTTCATATGATATTAGCTCCTTTGAATTATCTATTTCTTCCATGATTGGTATAATTTACCTTGATGTTTATTTTTCCCATTACCAGATATCTTCAAGTGTGTAGAGATCCTTAATTTTCCAATCATGTTTAAGAAGTGGAAGATTTAAAAACAAACTGGGGCTGAGCATTATGGCACAAGCCTGTCATCCCAGCACTCAGGGGCAGGAGGATGACTGTGTGTTTGAAGCCAGTCTGGGCTACAAAGTGCCTGAACTGAACAGTGAAACCCTGTCTCAAAAACTAAAATAAAATAGCAAATTGGTTATAATAATTGTTTAAGAGTCTAATGAGGGAGGGGCTGGGGATTTAGCTCAGTGGCATAAGTGCCTGCCTAGCAAGCACAAGGTCTTGAGTTCAATCCCCAGTACCACAAGAAAAAAAAAAAAAAAAAAAAAAGAAGAATCAAATGAGGGGGAGTAGCTTACTGGTAGAGTACTTGCCTGGCATACATGTCCTGGGTTTGATCCCAGCATCAGGGAAAACACCAAATTAGGAACTACATAAATGTGATGTGAATGTTGGCCTTTCAGTTTAGAAAGAATAAATCAGGAAGCCAAGATTTAGCCTCAAGAAGACTAGGTGTCAGAGAAGCATCTCAGAAAATGATCTCAGGTTATCTGGAAAGATAAAGATAGCAGCTGAAAGCTCACTTGGGACAGTCCTTTGGCCTGGAAAGGCTGTGCCCTTAACTTGTCAGGACTGTGACTGTCTAGGCAATGCCAGTATTGAATTAAACTGCAGAACATCTAGCAGGCGCCCTGTACTGCAGCATGAATACCTAGAGGCCTGGACGAGACTCCTCACCCTGCATGAGCCCTGTAGTGGCCTAACTTGGGTTGCCAGGTACGGAGGCAGCAATGGCACGGAGAACAGAAAATAAGAGGTGAGGGAGGAAGAGCACCAAGCTCCGTCCCTGCTCGGGCCATGTGGCGTGCCTGCGCACCTCAGTGCCTCCCTGCCTCTGCCTCGTGGAGGAAGACCGCCGAGCCCTGCCCTGGCTCAGGCCACTGAGCCACTGAGTACGCCTGCGACCCAGCATACTCCTCCAGTGTGCTGACCCAGAGGGCGCCCCCACCCACCCTGGCTCAACCCGCTGCCCTCAGCTACCCTCCCCATCTCTGAGACCAAGCACTGCTGTGAACGTTTGGCTCCCACTCTCCCTCCCAGAACCTTGAACTGCAGTGGACTGGCAGTGCTGGTTTGACAGGAGACTTCGTGGCCCCTTGTCCAGACAGAGGACCCTGGAAGGTTCCAGTCACTACTACCCAACAATCGGGCAAATATCAACTACACAGTAGGACCCTGGGACATACACTGCCAACAGTTGTGACCATTGGGATTAAATAACCAGATATTGGCCCAGAAGATGAAAATGACAAAATGAAAAACCAAAATGCAATCTCAAACATCTAGTCCATCGGGTGCAAGAACAGGGGAGAGCGAAATGGAGGACTTTAAAAGTCATACGCCAGAAATCTCTGATAAGGTAGCAAACAAAGTAAAGAAACAAATCCCTGAGGCTATAGGGGAAATCAAATTAAAAGTAATGTCTTATGTAAAGACAGAAATAACAGCCTTAGTAAAGGATTTGCTCAACATAGCTAGGGAACAAATAGATTAAAAAAAAATACAGGAGCATGGGAAATTGATTGAAACTTTGAATGAACAATGTGGAAAACAAACAGAATCCAGGAAACAAATTCAAAGAGATAGCCAAGAAACAAAAAATTCTATTTTTTCTATTTATTTTATTCTATCACATTGTCTCTCTAGTGTAAACAATAATAAAAACTGACAGAATAATTGGATCCAAAAAATATAATAGATATTGTGAAAGTGAAAGGGAAGTGCTCTAAAGCATACAATGGAATGTACATTGTGTAAGATGACCATATTACTGAATTTCTGCTGGAACATTGAACAGAACGATTTGCACTGTCAATGTTGAGTGTCTAGCCACTATTTATGCTTTGATTTTGTGACTTTGGCAACTGTTTTTTAAGATGACAATGAGTAATGTATATACTAGTGATTCTATGATGATGATTTTTTTTTTTTTTTTTTTTGTCTTTTTCCTTTTTATTGGTACGGGGATCGAACTCATGACTACCTGCTTGCAAGGGAGGCGCTTATGCCGCTGAGCTAAATCCCCAGCCCCGATGATGATTTTTTAAATTCAGTATTGTCCTACCCTTCTTTTCTGTTTTTCTATTTTCTTTAATTTTATTTTCTTTCTTTGAGAAAAAAGAGAATAATATGCAACATAACAAACATTCTTAAATTTCTTTCATTCTGTTTTGAAACCTATATTGTTATTCTTTTGAGTTTGCTATTGTTTATGTCTTTTGCTTTTTGTTTTACTTTTTTGACTTTTCTCTTTTTTAAATAAAAAAAGTAAAAGAAAATAAGGGGTGAATTGAAAATCCGTGCATGGGACAGTCACCTGGGTCTGTCTTGTCATCGGAATATTTGACATACAGGTATTACCATGAGATCAAAACATTCTTAAGAAAATTTCCCCCACTCCCACTCTCAAACTAAATATTCTGCTTTAGCAGACCTAGAGAACTAGTATGTGCATTGGTACCCTGAATCAAAGAATTTTGGTTTAACACCACTGACAGTCTAAACAAGTTAAGTATTGTTATCTTCATCTTCCAGGTGAAGTAACTCAGGCACATGGCTCAAGATTTACCAGGCAGCCTAACCAGAGTCTGCATATTTGGCTGATACACTGTGCTGCCAAAGAGGATTTTTTCTTTTTCAAGACAGAGTCCACTGTGTAGTCCAGGGTGGTCTCTAACTTGTGGCAATCATCCTGTCTCAGCCTTCCAACAGCTAGGATTACAGGTGTATACCACCAAACCAGGCAAGAGAACAATGTTTTTAAGGGTATTTTTTCCCAAATCCATTTTATTTCAAGTAGAAAAAGAAGAAAAAAACTAAAACAAAAATTCAAAACATGTCAATCAGAGGGTAATAATGGTACATATATCGCACATTGCTATACCCAAATTATTTACCCAGAGCACATTTGTGTTTAGTTGTCCAAACATTACCGGCACAAATCTTTCTCTTTAGTGTACTCAGAGAAATTTGTAGTATATGAACTATTTTTGTATAACATATACATATGCGTATGTTGTTTCTTTCAGCTTCTCACACAAATGAGGCAATACTATGTATATCTTATTATTTCACTAATGAGTATGGTCTCAAGTTGCAGCCATATACCTATAAAGTCTCCACTTTATCCTTTTTATGGCTGAGTAGTACTCCATTGTATAAAATATCACATCTTTTTTATCCATTTCTCAGTTGGTGGGCATTTGGGTTGTTTCAAAGATGTAGCTATTACAAATTGTGCTGCTATAAACATGGGTGCATATATATCACTGTGGTATGATCTTTTTAATTCTTTTGGGAAGATGCCCAGAAGATAAATAGCTAGGTTGTACAGAACCTCTAAACCTAGTTTTTTGAGGAATCTCCACACTGATTTCCACAGTGGCTGCACCAGTCTACACTTCCACCAACAGTGGAGAAGGGTTCCTTTTTCCCCACAGCCCCTCCAGCATTTGTTATTGCTTGATTTCTTAATATTAGCCATTCTTTCTGGCATGAGATGGAATCTCAGTGTTGCCTTTACAATATAAATACTAACTGTAACATCTATTACTTTTGTTACTTTTGTGAACCAGCGTGTGTGTGTGTGTGTGTGTGTGTGTGTGTTTACAGGGAATATTAGTTTCTAGGCTTCAGCCAAGATTTATTAAATAAAATCTCTAAGACCAGGGATATAGCTCAGTAGCCCCACACCTGCCTGGCAAGCAAAAGGTCCTGAGTTTGATTTCCCCAACCCCTGGAGATTGAACTCACAATGTTACACTTGCCAGGCAGGCATTTATGCTGCTGAGCTAAATTCCCAGCCCCAATTTTTTAAATAATAATTTTAAAAAATAAAATCTCTAGCATGGAATTATATCATCATTACTGATCATGTCCTTCACTAAGAATTCTTATTTATAAGATCATAAACCTCATGGTGAAACTCTACCTAGAGTGACTAAAGTCTACAGATATAAAATACACAGTACACACCTTTGTTACAGAATGGAAGCTTTATTCACTCTCAACAGGGCACATCTTGAAGAGTTCTACCAACAATACAGCTGCACTGGACCTAAAAAAACAGATTTTGGGAGCTAGGGATTTAGCTCAGTGGCATAGGCACCTGCTTTGAAAGTGCCTAATCATGAGTTCAAGCTCCGGTACCAAAACAAAAACAAAAAAACAGATCTTCTCAGCTAAATTTCCCTAGTGACCCAGCGCAGAATAATGGAAGACAATAATTAAACACTCACTGAGGTTCAAAGAAGAAGATATCTCAACTTTGGTTTCATTTGCCTGAACTACACAAGCAAGACTCAGGTAACAACCAACCAAAATGGTGGCATTCAACATCCTGCATTCTGTATGGTATTTTAAAAGCAATCAGTGTAGTGCATAAAAGAGGCCAAAACCTTTTCCCACTGCATTGGAATTCCACTGTTGTTTAAGCATGGAAGCCCTGTGACCAAGTAGAGGGAAGATGCCAGCCTCGCAGTTAAGAGACCCCTGCCTGCAAAGCTGTGTCCAGACCCCATGGCGGGATGGGATATGCCCCTACTCCAGGTTGTGGTTCCCTTTCATCTCTTTCTTGTGAACTGGTGCCAAGCGTGGTGTGGGCTTGTGAGTTGGTGTATTAAACCTAAAAAGCCTCCTGTTGGTCACAGCCAGAGAACTTCACTTCAGATTTTATAATTGAACTCCAAATATTTTAAGTCCAAACAGAACACTCTGTGGAGGATGCAGCACTGCATTATTTCATATGTGTTACCATTTCATAATTATTATATAATTTCCATCTTACAATGTGTTTTTTGTTTGTTTGGTTGGTTGTTTTTGTATCTGGCATCAAACTCACCATCCTACCCTTGCCAAGCAGGCACCTACAACTCTGAGCTTAACTCCCACCTCTTACAATGTGTTCTTAATGTCTTCTTACACTAAATTAATGAATTAAAATAAATCACAAACATTTAATGTACTTCAGTTATAATTTGCACATAGTAATGCACAAGGACTTTGAACACATGACTCTAAATAATACAAAATTCATTGAATGAAATACTATTGAATTCTAGGCATTTTGTGACAAGAAAAAAATAGTTTTGTAACAAAAGGTTGTTTTTTTCTTGCTGTGTAGTTCAGGCTGGCCTTGAGTTCACTATGCAGCTCAGGGTGGCCTCAAACTCACAGCTATCTTCCTGCCTCAGCTTCCCAAGTGCTGGGATTACAGGTATGTGCCAACACACCCAGCCACAAAAAAGTTTCTTATATCAGATTTTTCTCTTAAACTGTTCTTCATGTTTTAATTGGAGCTTTCTCTAAAGAATCACCTTATAGTTTCAAATCTTTTATTTCTTTTTCTTTTTTTTTTTTTTTTTTTTTTTTTTTGAGACAGAGTCATGCTATGTAGTTCATGGTGGCCTTGAACTTGCTATGTAACCCAGGCTGGCCTCAAACTCAATGATCCTTCTGCCTTAGCCTTCCGAGTGCTGGGATAATGGGTGTGCCCAACCCAAATTTCTTTTTGACACATTATGTATACTCATACTGGAATCAAATACCTGAAGGAATTGGAATCTTATGAATGCAGCCAGGACAACAGTGGACAGAGTCATGAACAAAAACATCACAGTCCACACAAAATACATTCTGGAACACAATGCACACATAGACCTGCAACAGAAAGAAGCAAAAGGAATCAACCAAGATAGTGTCTAGAAGTTAAGTGAAAAAAATAAATAAAAAATAAACTGTTAAGTGAGCACAGCTAGAAGACATTTATGTTGCTTTGCTAATTTATATTGGAAGCAAGCTTCCCTACCCACCTCGAGTACATATTTTCAAATCTGATGTGATTTATGTCCCCCCAACTATCCTTAGAAATAGAGAAATGACTCTGATTTGATTCCTCAAAGTCTATTTATTTATTTATTTATTTATTTTTATTGGTACCAGAGATCAAACTCACGACTGCCTGCTTGCAAGGCAGGTTCTTATGCCGCTGAGCTAAATCCCCAGCTCCCCAAAGTCAATTTATTATAACATATTCTCAGCTACTTCATTTAAGTAACAACATAGAGGAGTCATGTGAGCACAAATCAGTGCTAGCTATCAATGTTTAGAGGTGGTCATCAGACAGATCCGAGTAAAAAGAGAAGCACAAAAATTTAACATGGGTTTAGTTCTTTTTTTAAGAGGCTTTTTTTTTTTTTTGGCATCAGGAATTGAACTCGAGGTCTCAAACTTGCTAGGCAGGTGCTGCCCTGCTGAGCTGTATCTCCAGCCCTGGGTTTAGTTATTTTTAAGAGAACAACCTCACAACTGCAAAAATTATATTCCTCTTTCAACTAAGCCATTAGGCAGTAGGTCAACTGACACATAGACAATAAAAGCTCACAAGTCTATCAGCATTGCATATACAGATACCTCTGAGTAGAGATAAAACTTACTCACTATATCCTAACACACAAGTAAAGATGATGTGTTGTTTTGTTTTGCTTTGTTTTAGAGAAGATCTCACTATGTAGTTCAGGCTGGCCTTTGACTCTGGGTGATCCTCAGCCTTCTAAGTGCTAATATTACAGGAATGAGCCACCACACTCAGCTAGATTATGTTCTTAGAAACTAGAAAACAAGGGTTAGGGATATGGCTCGGCAGCACAGTACCTGCCTGGCAAGCATGAGTTAGAGTCCCAGTACAAAAACCAAAAAAAACTGTAAAACAATTGAAAAAGTGATTTTAGTGAGGATAAACTACAGATGTCAAAGAGAAATGTTCTAGAGATTGAACCTTGGATCATACACATTAAGTAGGCTCTCTACCACTGAGCTATACCCCTCATCTCAAGGACTGTAAAATTTAATAAAATTATTTTATGAAACATTCATATATTGGTAATAAATCATTCCATATATGGAATAAACAAGCAATTTTTGTTTTGTTTTGTGGGGTGCTGGTGACTGAACCCAGGATCTTAAAATACATACTGAACATGAGCTTTACAACTGAGCTACACTGCTAGCCTCAAACAAGTAATACTGCTAATTAACACTTGATAGACTTTGTATTTTTAAATATGGAAATGTCACTAAATATTAAAAATAGACATGACATTTGCATTTATGTAACTTTATATAATCACACTGACTACTTTCAAAAACTTCTTTTTAAGCTCTGCCATGGTTGCTTGACATGGAGCCTCGCTGTGTGGCTCAGGCCCATGAACTCCATCTCAGTCAGGCCCCTGACTGGCTGGGACTACAGGCAGGCACCACTAGCCTGGCTCTGTATTAAAAAATTTTAAAAATGCTTCCTAATACTAACAATTTTTATCTGTGGCCAACTTAAATGATAACTTCCAAATGAGTCACAATGGGGCCAGGGCTGGGCTGTAGCTCAGTAGTAGACGACTTTCCTAGTGTGGGTTAGGCCCTGGTTCTACCCCCTAGTAATAAAAGGAAAACAAACACTTTAAATAAACAAAAGCAGTTAGCTTAAAAACAGAAGACAAAGCACTAAATGTCTTCATACCAAAATCAGAATGCAGAATTACAAAACTACTATTTAGATTATTTTCCCCCATTTTATGTCTACTAATTAGTATATAACTATTTATAGAAAATAAGCTGATGTAAGCCTGGTCTTCAACAACCTCCAGAAAACTTATTATAATATTATTTTCTTATGCATAGCTTATTATTAGAAAGTCAAGACTCACATGTTGGTCCTTCAGTTGCCCCTGACATCCATAACAAAATCTGAAACAGAAAGTTTGAGAATCATTTTTTAAAAAAGAATTCACTAGTTAAAATGATGTAACCAAGTTGGAGTAACTAGAATCCCTTACTAATTACTTCTATACCAAACTTTGGCAGAAAGAGTTAAGAATGCCAACAGTTTCTTAAAATTCTACAGTATGTTGGCTGTATGTGTCAATTGACCTACAGCCCAAAATGTAGTTTTTGTTTTCATTAAGGTTAAATATGCATATACTTCCTAATTGGGGTTGTAGAAGAGAATTAAGCCCTACAGAAAATAATTTACTATTTTTAACTCTCCTATACTTAGTAGATACAATCCTAGATGAACAGAAGACACGTTAACTTCTTACACAGAATGGGGGCCTAATGGTTTTATTTTCTTTCTTCTCAAATTTTTTGTTTTCTGGCTGGTTTTTGATATAGGGTCTCTCCAGGTAGTTCAGGGTGGCCTTAAACTTGTGGCAACCTTCCTTCCTCAGTCTCCTGAGTGCTGCAGGTGTGCATCCTCAAGGCTGGCAGTCTCACTTTCAAGGAACACTATAAAGACCTGGGACTCGGGGTTCAGTGCAGTGCACGCCAATTATATATGAGGCCCTGGCTTGATTCTACCCCAGAACTCTCAAAAAAACAAAGTTCTCTGTTTATTACTGAAAACAGCAATTCCCTGGCTCCTCCCCATTTCATTCCCAGCTCCCAGAGGCACTTTCATAACTTTTAACCTTGTGCCAAGTGGGGTGGTGCTTGCCTATAATCCCAACACTGAGGCAGGAGGACTGCCGTGAGTTTGGGCCAGTGAGTTTAAGGTCAGCCTGAGTTATAGAGTGATACCCTGTCTCAAAAATCCACAAACATGGAATTAAAAAAAACTAAACGAAAGGAAACTAAACTTGTAACTGTGATATTTACTTATGCTTATATAAGTGCTAACTCCTGCTCTGTGAATACTGGCTCTGAGCCTCCAACCATGGAAGATGAGAACTTAATTCCTTCAGACTTCTTGGACTAACAGTGCATACGTGTAAACTAATGTCATGCTCATCCTTCTCTGTAAGTCTTTTTTTTTTTTTTTGAGACAGGGTCTTACTCTATAGCTCAGGCTGGCCTTGAACTCACAGCAATTCTCCTGCTGCATTACAGGCATGCACCACCACACCTGCCTGAACTCTAATATATTTTCACTCCAAAGTCTGAACACTGAAATTCTCTGTTAGCATTCAATATTGTTGATGAAAAGCCGAGCAATTTTAATCCCAGATCCTTGACATATGACCTAATTTTTCTCCTCTGGAAATGTTTAGGGTATTTCACTACATATTTGGAAATTATACAGTTATATACTTTAGCGTGGGTCTGGTTTTTTTCAATAAATTAACCACTTGACAGTCCTCTTTGACCAAGAAAATACTATTCTTCAATAGTAGAAAACTTCCTTAAACTATTTATTTGATGATCTCCTATTCTATATTTTCTCTTTTCTTTCTTTCTCACATATTCCTATACTGGACATTCTTGAAAAATCTACCAGTTTGGATTTTTTTGGTTTTTTACCTTTATTGGGTTCTTCATTTTATGCCATGTATTCTACTTCTTGGAATGTTTCTTCAATTCTATCTTTAAATCTGTCTACCTCAATCATAAGTAAATAAATAAAGGCAAGTTAAAACAATAAGATTTTTTTTAAAAAGTTGGCCAATATAAAAAATTTCATAATCCTAATACTGTTCAAGTTTAAGCAAACAACAAATGAAACCTCCTTAAAGGATATCTTTACAACGTCTATTAAATCACTTGTTTTTTTTCCTTTTTGAGGCAGGGTCTCATTATGTAGACCAGGCTGCTCTGGAGCTTACTAGGTAGCCCAGGCTGGCCTCTAACTCATGGTGATTCTCCTGCCTCAGCCTTCCAAGTGCTGGGATTATACAGGTTTTTACCACCACAGCTGCCTTAAAATTCACATAACTTTTGATTCAGCTGTTCTACCTCTAAGAATTTGTCATGCATTTATACATATACAAAGTTAAAGTTATTAACATTATTTGTTAATACCAACTGATTGGGGCTGGGGATTTAGCTCAGTGGCACAAGCTCCTGCCTTGCAAGCATGTGGTCCCCGGTACCGATTTAAAAAAAAAAAGAACTGATTATATAAAACATGATAATATCTACATACACAATTTTGAAAAATATTCCTCTAAGTGTGCTTATATGAAACAATTTCCAAATGATTTTTCCGTTCTTATTTTTTGGGTCACAATTTTCTATTTAACCCAGACTGGCCTGGAACTCAAGATCCTTGTGCTTCAGTCTCCTAATTGCTAGGATTATGGCATGAACTATCATACAGTACATCACTCTCACTATGAAGGCTTCAGTACATCACTCTCACTATGAAGAGGTGAAAGTAAGGAAATTAACAATTTCTGGAGACACAGATGTGTTTAAAATGAGTTATTTCATTCATAAACAAGGATCCTCCCTGATTAAACCCAGGGGTATTCTACCGCAAATCACATCCCCAGCCCTTTTGTTAAACTTTGAGACAGGATCTAAGTTGGTCAGGCTTTCCTTGAACTTGCAATCCACCTGCCTCAGCAGTCTCTACAGCTGTGTTACAGGTATACACCACTAGGTCCAGCTGTGTCTCATTTTCTATATCAGAAGTAATCTTACTCAAGTTAATAACTATTTTTTAAAAGGCAATGACAATCTACTCAAACATTAGTTCGCCATTATGAAGAGATATAAATAAATCAAAACTCATACCTTTCCCCTTTATATTCTTCTAGGGGAATTTCTTGAAAAGCATCCAAGGGAAATAAATGATGATACAACCACGCCAAGTGGGGAGCTGAGACCAAAGTAAGACCTAACATACAAACAGAAGCATGTTTAATCAGCCACACCTCATAGAGACAACAGCTAAGCAGCCAAATCTGTAACTCAGCCTAAGCACTTGCAAGTGTTTTTAGGGGAGTTTTGTTTTTTGCAGTGCTGGAGGCTGAAGCCAGGCCGTGCTGCAGGCTTGCCAGCCCTTCCACTGCTGAACTCCTTCCCTGGAGAGTGAGCGGCATCTGTTGCTGCTCGGTGCTCAGTTTCCTTGGACCACAGGCGTGTCCAGGGGTGAGTAAGCTCTGTCACTACACATATTACCTCTCTAGGCCTATTTGCTTACTTGTAAATGAAATAGACTTTATATATTATGTTTATTCTTGGTAATGTAGTACTGGACATTCAATTTAAAAAGTAATCTACTTCTCTTTGCAAAAAGTAAAGCCACACCAGGCCTGATGACACACACCTGTAATTCAACACTCCAGGAGGCTCAGCCAAACACTTTGCAAGTTTGAGCCCAGCCTGGGCAACTTAGTCAGACATTGTCTCACAAGTATAAAAAGGGCTGGGGATGCAGCTCAGAGCAGAGAGTGGGTACTGGGATCAAGCCTCAGTACCACACACACACACACACACACACACACACACACACACACACACACACAAATACATACATACATATATACACATAAATACCCAGAAACCTAGGTGGAATTCAACATTTGCATTTTTTAACATTTATTTTTACCAGTATAATAGATAATAAATTATTTGAAATTAATTTACTAAATAATGAATAACTGGGTTCTTACCACACATTTTACATTCAACAGGAAGCTCACAGTACTTTGCCCAACACTGTGGGTAGAAATAGCCTCCTAATGCAAGTCCTGGTTCAGAACTGCTATCCAGGTGCCTGTGGGGGAAAAAATTACTTTAAAGATGATGCATATAAAGATGTAAAAAGTAAAAAAAAAAAAAAAAAAAAAATTTAAAATTCAAAACTAAAGAAAGTATGTTGCACTCCTGTAATCCCAGCACTTGGGAGGCTGAGGCAGGCGACTGTTGCACGTTTGAGACCAGCCTGGGCTACAAAGTGAGCCCAACACCAGCCTGAACTGCACAGTGAGATCTATCTCAAAAAAGACAAAAAAAAAAAAAAGGAAAGAAAGAAAAAGAAAATATGTTACCTTGACTTTAAACTCTGGATTTCAAAAATTTTTAATTTTATTTGAAAATGTGTGTGTCATTTAAGTGACCACATACCTCCCTCTTCCTCTTTTTTAAAAAATATTTATTGAGACAGGGTCTTGCCCAGCCTGGCCTTGAACTCTTTGATCTTCCTGCCTCAGCCTCCCCACTAGGATTACAGGCATGTGCCACCACACTTGTCTGTGTGACTATTTCCTCTAGAACAGTAAATGTAGTCCTTATTATACCTTTAATGGAAGGAGGCCTGTGACTTGGAAAAAATCACTTTCTTTTTGTTTTTTAATTATATAAAGTGCTGAAGTTCAAACAAGGTATACTTAGTAGAAGTCCAGGTTCTATCACTTTGCCTTTCCTTAAACACCAACACACTCTTTAGTTTTCACTCCCTATATCCATTACTATTGTTTTTATGCTGAGCACAACTGAATCATCTCACATCGCTTCCTTCTTTTTAGATAGATGGTAGCAAATTACACACCTTCTCTCTTCCTTATACTGACATTTCCTGAAGATCTCACTACAGAAATATACTGTATATAGTCATTCCTTTTTATGGCTATCTAAACGGTAATTTTTTTTTTTTTTTTTTTTTTTGAGACAGGGTCTCACTGTAATTCAGGCTGGCCTTAAATTCACAGTGATCTTCCTGCCTCAGCCTCTAGAGTGCTAAATTTACACATGTGTACCATCACACCCAGGTCAAAAGGTAATTTTTAATTACAAGCCACATTTCAAGCCCATCTTTTAATTTATAATTTAGAGCAATGAATTTTAAGTGCTAAAAAATTACTGGTCTTTACTTACGCCATGCTGAAAGAAGGTTTTGCATCTTGATCAGCCAAAGCAGCAATGGTATGCTGAGGAAATCCTTCACAGAAAAGATAAAGTATTAATTTCTCTTATCAAGCAAAAAGCACAATTCTAGGGGTAGGAACCTAAAAATGTTTCTACCAGAGAGCCAACAAAGTTGTACAAAAGCTGTTTTCAAAAAAACAGTTGTTTTTCCATCTCTTAGGAGATATATATGTGTATGCTTATTATCCTATCTGAGACTAACTGTAAACCTGCGCTACTGTAAAGAAAAAATAGAGGAATGAGGGAAAGATAGGTCTACACATGACCTCAGATTCTGAAGTTCTTATCTATATTTTCTTTTCTTTCTTTTTTTTTTTTTGGTACCAGAGATCAAACTCACAACTTCATACCTGCCAGGCAGGCAGTTGTGCCACTGAGCTAAACCTCCAGTTGCCTATATTTTCTTTTTGGGAGTTTTCTTTTTGCTTTGTTTTTTCCAAGGCAAGGTCTCTTGCTTTGTAGAGAGGGCTGGTCATGAGCTTGTAGTGATCCTCTTGCTTCAGCCCCAAGTGCTGGGATTATAGGTGTGTACCACCACATGCAGCATATCTATATCCTCTAATTTAATAACAACACTGTCTTTTTGGGTGTGTGTGTGTGTGTGTGTGTGTGTGTGTGTGTTGTGCTAGGAACTGAATCCAGGGCCTTCACACTAAGCTACAACCTCATCCCCTTTTATAAATTTTGTGACAAGTCATTGTGCTAAGTCATTAAGCTGCCTCAGGCTGGTCTCCAATGTGGGATTCCCCTGCCTTAGGCTTCCAGAGTGTTGGCATTACCAGTCAGTGTGTGACATAAAACATGGCCCCCAAAAAAATCCAACTCAAATTTTAAAATAACTTAAGTAAATGAAAACAGAAAGCCTCATATGAATATGTATTTTTAAAATAACAAAATAAACACATACCCATATGAATAAGGGAGCATTCAGAACTTGAGCTGGCAGGAGGAGGACTAACATGATGCGTTAGCAATTCTTTGTAGTGGCTTTCATCTAAAATCTCATGGTATGTGCCTAACAAGAAACAAACAACAGCTTTACACATGTAAGAACACATTACAATTTCTATGTAGTCCTGTAAAAGCTTTAACATCTACAAATGCACATCTTCAAAATTAAGATTTTAGTTAAATTGTCATTTTTAAGAACTTTATCTCTAAATAGGTATCTCTAAGAACAGTAATTACAATTTGATTAAAAGCCGTCATGAAATCTTTAGAAAGTATTACACACAGTAAAATTTCTAGCTTTTCAAGAGTTATGCTTTCTCTAAACACAAACATTACTGAAATTTCCTTCCCCTTTGAGGTGATTTCTCAATGCAAAATATATTTAAGATGACTTCATATGCTAGACTATGGATATGAAATAATTTAGATTCAGTGGCTTACGACAGCCGCCTAGCTTAGTCAGTGAATCCTTACATGATGATTATGAATAGAGAGTGAACACAGTAGACATACACTTCCAGTTTCCCGAGCAAGTCCAGTGCAAACCCGAACCTCTGCTGACATCCCAATGACACACATTTTAGCTGTTTTCAGGGTCTTCATCAAATCCAAGAAAAAGAAGAATTAAGAAAAGTATTTAATTAAGAATTAATGTACTTGAAAAATAATGCTCTGGACACAGTACAGAATTCTCTTTAGTGTTTTAACTTTGGGTTTTTTTGTTTTTTGGGGGCCCCAGGGATTAAGTCCAGGGTCTTTCCACTGAGCCACATTCCCAGCGCCCTTTTAAAAGTCTTATTTTTATAGCATTTAAAAAATCATTTTATCAGTACATGAATACAGTGCAAAATGTTTGTACTTTTTGTGTAGTGTACTTGTACATAAGACATTTTAATTCCTTTTTTCATCCCCTTTCACTTTCCCTTTCCTTTTTTCTTTTTGAGACAAGAGTCTCATTGTACAGTTTAGGTTGGGTTTAAACTCACTATGTAGCTCAGGCTAGCCTTAAACTCAGGGTAATCCTCCTGCCTCAGCCTCCGGAGTGCTGGGATTACAGGGGCGTACAGCCATGCCTGGCTCCTTCTCCCCTTAAAACAGTTTTTTTTGGTTTTGTTTTGTTTTGGGGAAACTGTTTCTTTTTGTAGTTTGGGCTGGCTTTGAACTCACTATGTGGCCTAAGCTGGCCTCAAACTCATGGCAATTCTCCTGCCTCAGCCTCCAGAGTGCTGGGATTATGGGCTTGTGCCACAATGCCTGCCAAAAAAATTGTGAGATAGTGTCTCACTAAATCAGTAGGTTGCCCAGGCAAATGTACTCTCATTAAGTTATAGCAAACTGTACCCCCAAAAATGTATCTAAAAGGAACAATATTCATGCTTTATACATTCAGACTATAGAATATCTCATTTGTCTCAACATTGTAGGGAAATGAATTGAGAATGTTTTAAATACATTTTTTTTTTCTCTTTTTCAGTGCTGAGGACAGAGTTCAGGACTCGTGCCTGACAGGCAAGTGCTCCTTATGTTCATTTTTCAAAAAATGAGCTATAAAGCCAGGTATATTGGTGCACACCTGTCATCTCAGCACTTGGAAGGCTGAGGTAGGAGGACTGCTGTGAGTTCGAGGCCAGTCTGGGCTACAAAGTGAGCCCAAGGCCAGTCTGAACTTCATAAAGAGACCCTGTCTCAAAAAGACTGAAAGAGGGGCTGAGGATTTAGCTCCATGGCATAAGCACCTGCCTTGCAAGTGCAAGATCGGAAGTTTGATTCCTAGTACAAAAAAACAGAAAAAAAAGAGCTATGTATTTTTTACATAATTATTTATGGAAATACACAGAAAGGTCTCTCAAATTCTAGGGAAAGAATGATAAATGATACTGACTGAGCCCCTGACATTATGAAGCTTATAGTCCAATAGACTTCTTTCATATGAAGTCGAACGTGTACAGTGAGAAACAGGACTATACAGTAGGGTCAGCTTTAAGGTATGCACATATGGTTTAACAACAATAACAATTAAATGACCACCCAATGAGGGGTGAAGCTGTGTGAGCTCTTTCTATGCTAGAAAGGGATTTCTGTCATTTTTGGAGCAAGTTTACCAGTTAATTATATGTTTCATTATTATCCTCCCCACTAACATCTGTAGATACCACTGGAGAGCTTGCTTTTATGATTTTTGTTATGTACTTATCTATCTCAAAAGTAAAAGTTTTCTTTGGGGTTTGCTACAACCCACACAGCTGGACTTGCAGGAACCGTGTACTATTAATTTATATATATACTGTCAAACAGGTTAATAAATGTCAGTGAAATACAATCAACTCATACTACACTACATGCCACTTGTGATCCCTAAACCTTTGGCAGCCCTGTACTGAGAAATGAACCCAGGCCCTTCACACTGAGCTATATCCTCAGCCCACCTCCCACTCTCTTTCTGTGAGACAGGATCTTGCTAAGCTGCCCAGCCTGGGCTCAAATTTCCAATCCTCCTGCCTCAGCCTCTCAGGGTGCTGGAAGTATACATGCGCGTTGCCACACATAGCTAGTTCTCCTACTTACCCACTTTGTTATAACTGGCTTTATGGAGACTTCGGTTAACATATTCTCATTTCAATTAATTCATTAAAAACTTCTAAACCAACTTTCAGTAAGAAATGTAAAATACTAACTTTAGAGTCTGCATGGCCATGCTTAAGGAATTATAAAGAGATGGTTCTCCATGACAGGTCATATCAGTAGCTTTCTTCAAAGATGTTATGTGTTTCCTTGGGTTTCCTTAAATTAAATGGAACAATTTGCTTTTATAAAATGCCATTAAAAAATACCATACATACACTATGAACATGTTGGGCAATCCATTTGGGACCTTGCTTGTTTCTATTCCCCCCACCCATTTTCCCAATAAATTTTTCTATGCTTAATTTTTTTTTTTTTTTTTTTTTTGTCTTTTTCATTTTTTATCGGTACCAGGAATCGAACTCACGACTGCCTGCTTACAAGGCAGGCACTTATGCCGCTGAGCTAAACCCCCAGCCCCTCTATGCTTAATTTGTAAAAAAAAAAAAAAAAAAGTGCCAATTTTGTGTCGAGGTCTCACTGTCTCACTATGTAAGTCTTGACCTTTCTGTGCAATCCAAGCTGGTCTTGATCTCAAGATCCTCCTGCCTAAGCCTCTCAAGCAGCTACGATTATAGACATGCCCACCGTATCTGTTCCAGAGGATTTTTAATCTTCATACATATGACCTCAGTGGCACACAAAATTCCTCTACATTTGGGGTGGAAAAGTCAAGACAGGAGGGAGCAGCTCCTGCCACCATCATGTAACCATCCTGTTTGGCCCATGCTGTGCTGAGCCTGCGGCCATCCTGCCTCCATTCTGCTTGGGTCACAGGATTACAACCCCAGGTGGTGGCCAAACTCCTCACTGTCCTGTGGTGCTGGTAGCTCATGGGTAGGCAGATGGTGAAACCAAAGTCTCTCTGCACCTGGGTGTAGCTGGACAAGGGCCATGCAGGCATAAGGCTGCTGTCAGAGACCTTTTCATCTCCCAGGAACCTGACCAAAGGCTGAAGCCAGACAAGGCCTGATGCTTAGAAACAACTACCACATGTGTCAGCACAGAACACAGAGGGCACAGAGGTAGGTCGTTGTGAGCTGCAGAAAGCTAGTTATGGCCCCACCTCTAGTGCTAGAGACCAAACCAAACTGGGGCCTTCCAGAGCCACACTTCCAACCGAGACTGTTATATTTTCTTGCAACTGAGTTTCTTGGATCAATCCATATAAATAAACCTCTTATTCCTTACAGTCATAGTGAAAAATTATTCGTAAGCACAGTGTGTCACTTCACTTATGCATTGCAAAGATGGAGAAATTGATTTAAGGTAGAGCTATTTTACAAAAAGTAAAATGGAATTAAATGATGTCAGTTTGTAGCAGCACATATAGGTAAGAAAATAAAAACGGCCATTATTATCTTTTATGAGGTAAAATTCGGTTATGTGAGGTAAAATTCATGTTATATGAATAGAAAAGTGGACTCAGTGAACAACAGCTATAATTCAGGCCAGGGATTTAGGTCAGTGGCAAGGTGCCTGCCTGGCAGGTACAAGGTTCTGAGTTCAATCCCCAGTACCAAAAAAAAAAGCTGTAATTCAGTTTTTATACATGTGCTCTTTAAATTCAATGTTTAACTTTTTGAAAATTCAAGTTGAAGATTAAGTGGATTTTATGAATGGTTTCAATAAGATTATTTTAATATTTTCAGAAAATATTAAAGACTGTACATATCTTAAAGAAACAGATTCACATTCACAATAATACTATTCACCACTGTGCAGAACTCAGTTTAAAACAGTTAATCTTAGATTCCAAGAGTTTATTGGGAAAACAGGCATTATTAAGTTATTTCACCTAAAAGGCATACAGGAAGGTGTCATTTTACTCACGAAACACCCGTAAGAACAGGGTTACATGTCTGGGTAATTAAGACAAAGTGCCTGTGTGCTGGAAAGGTAATATAACGCATACCTGAGAGTTCAGTCAGTTTTTCAGCTCTTTTAGTTACAATTATGCCAATCTCAAAACAAAACAACAAAAGATCATTAATTTCATATGACAAATTACTTCCTCGATAAAATTTATGTAAAATAAATTGGGCTGGGGATTTAGCTCAGCGGCATAAGCACCTGCCTTGCAAGTGTGCGATCGTGAGTTCAATCCCTGGTACCAATAAAAAAACGAAAAAGACAAAAAAAAAAAAAAAAGAATTGTAAAAAAATAAATTAGTATGCCTACAAAAGAAATAAGCAACACACGAGAAACTTTTCTTTGTGCTATTTTGAACAAATAAATTTAGCTGAGTTTACCACCTACTATTAAACTTTTAGTTATTTTGCTTTTTGCTAAATGTACCCAAAAAGAATATATAATCTAGATCACTTAGCAAATGATACAATGTATATCCTATTTTTTAAAAAACAAATTACAGTATATTTGGTAGCAAAATAGTTATGCAAGTCTGAATTCTATCATTTATCTACATACTTGACTGATAGAATTTTGATCAAAATACTCTTCTACAAAGTACTCCAACAACTGTTTAAAGAGAACAAAAAGAAATATTACACAAGGGCAAAAAACAACCAAACATACAATTATGCTTTGATAAACCTGTTTATCAAGGATCCCTTCTGATATTCTGTTTTCTTTTTCTTTTTGTGCTGCTAGGGATGGAACCCAGGGCTCTGCACAAGCTAGGGAAGCACCTACCATTAAGCTACAATCCCAGGCCAAATGTGATTATTAAGTTATTTCACCTAAAACACACAGGAAGGCTTCGTTCCTTCAAACTCCCATAAGATATTTAAACTTACAGATTTTCAAGAAAATGTTTAGTTGCAAAAATATTAAATAGTAAAAACTATATTTGAAATAGTAGGTGATAAAACAATAATGACCCAGATTTTTTTAGATTTGATTTTGCTTTATGGTATTGAAGACTGAATCCAAGGCCTTGGTACCAAGCTACATCCCATACCCTTTTTATTTATTTTGAGACAGGGTCTTGCTAAATCACTGAGTTGTCCAGGCTGGGCTCAAACTTGTAATCCTCCTGCTTCAGCCTCCAGCTGGGATTATAGGCATTTCCCACCATGCCCAACTTGAATGAATTAGAAGTAAGCACAATGGCAAGCACCTTACAATTCCAGCGGCTTAGCAAATTGAGGCAGGGGCTGGGGATATAGCTCAGTAGCACAGCAGCTGTGTGTGGCAAGTGCAAGGTCATGAGTCCAATTCCCAGTACCAAAAAAAAAAAAAAAAAAAAAAGTAGAAGAAGAAAGAAAAAGGGCTGGGGATTTAGCTCAGCGGCATAAGCACCTGTCTTGCAAGCAGGTGGTCGTGAGTTCGATCCCCAGTACCAGAAAAAAGAAAAAAAAGTATTAAAAAAAAAAAAACAAAAAACCAAGTTTGGTGTGGTGGCACATGCCTATATAATGCCAGCTACTTGGGAGGCTGATGCAGGAGGATCAGAAGTTCAAGGTCAGCCTGAGCAACCTATATGTTAACTCTAAATAAATAAATGAAAAGTGCAGTGAATATAGCTCAATGGTAAAGCATCCCCAGGTATAATCCCCAGTACTCATCCCCATCATCTCGCAGGGAACCAATTCAGCTACTGAAGAGCTACTGCGGCAGAAAGACTGTGAGCTCAAGATCATCCTGACCACACAGTAAGATCCCATCTCAAAGAAAAGGGAATAAAAGAAACAAAGCACTAACATACTCTACAACATAGAAGAGCCTTGAGGCAGTATATTAAGTGAATGCCAGATACAACACACCACTTTTGTTTTGGTACCAGAGATCGAACTCATGACCTAGCGCTTGCCAGACAGACACTTAGGCTGCTGAGCCAAATCCACAGCCCAACGCACCACATATTATATGATTATGGGAAATCAAAAGGGAATATCTATAATAAACAACATAAATTAGTGGGTGTCTACAAGCAGTGAAAATGGAATTAAATGTAAGTAGCCATTAATTAAGTAGTCATTGGAGTAGTTAAAGTGTTCTTAAAACTGGTTTATAGGAGGAAAAAAGGACTGATTTATGGTGCCACATGCCTGTAATCCCAGGTCTCAGGAGGCTGAGGCAGGACTGTGAGCTCGAGATCAGCCTGGGCTACAAAGCGAGCTCAAGGTCAGCGAACTGCATAGTGAAACCCTGTCTCAAAAAGACAATGGCTTATGATAGGAAATTTTCGGGCTTATGATAGTAAATTTTCTAAAAACAATCACTGAACTACACACTGGAAGTGGGTGATTTTTAACACATATAAAGTAATTTCAATAAAGATGTAAGCAAAAAGAGATAATATCTACAAGAAAAAAGAGGCCTTAATGCCATACTTACCAAGTTCTCTCATAGCCTCCTTCCCATCGCTTAGTTCTTTCAGGTTCTTCATCCATATTTTAAAAAGTGTGTATTATTTCAGCACTCTGTAAAAGCCGTAAGACTATGAATGTTCTAAACATGTCTGTACAAAATGCATCCACTTATTTAAAAGTTAAATGGGGGGGGGGGACAGGCATGGTGGCACACACCTGTAAACCCAGCACTCAGGAGTCTGAGGCAGGAGGACTGCAGTGAGTTCAAGGCCAGCCTGAACTACAAAGACAGAGCATGTCTCAAAAACCCAAAAATGGACTGGGGATATAGCTCAGTGGCATAAGTGCCTGCCTGGCAGCTGCAAGGTCATGAGTTCAACCCCCAATACCAAAACCAACCAACCAACCAACCAAAAAAACCACTGATGGGTATGGCAATGCATACTGTATTACAAACTACTCTGGAGGATGAGGTAGAAGGCTTTCAAGCTCAAGGCCAGGGTGGGCAATTAAGCAAAACTGTCTCAAAATAAAATTCAAAAGAAGAGCTGTGTCTATAGCTCAAAAGCAATTGCCTAACATGCAAAAGGCCCTGGATTTAACCCCTCGAACCAGAAGAAAAATAAGAATGTAAGTACATCTTTTTTTTTTTTTTTTGGTCTTTTTCTTTTTTATTGGTACCAGGGATCGAACTCACGACCACACACTTGCAAGGCAGGTGCATATGCCGCTGAGCTAAATCCCCAGCCCCAAATGTAAGTACATCTTATTCTTTGTACTTTATTCAATCATTTTTGTTAGGCCCAGAGATATAGCTCAGTGGCACAGCCCTTGCTTGGGCAAGTACGAGGTCATGAGTTTTTGTTTTGTTTTTCTGTCTTGTCTTTTTTTGAGACAGGGTCTCGCTATTTGGTTCAGGCTGTCTTCGGGCTCACTTTGTAGTCCAGCCTGGTCTTGAACTTTTAACAATTCACCTCCCTCAGTCTCCTGAGTGCTAGGATTACAGGAGTGTGCCACCACACCCAGCAAGGTTATGAATTTGATCCTCAGCACCAAAAAAAGAGAAAAAACAAATTGTTGTTAGTGAAAATATCCAAATATGAATATTTATGAACAAACAGGATTCCAATACAAATAAACACCCTTTTACAATTTGTGAAAGAATAAAAATGCTTTATGGACATCACAAAATAAGAACATAGATTTATGGGAGTCAATACAGGTGTAGCTGAAATATTATCCATAAGTGACATTTACCACAATTGGTAAGTATCTGATGATTCATTTCGTTCTCTCTCCACCTTTGTGCAGGTTGGAATTTTTTGTTTTGAGGCAGGGTCCTATTATGTAGCCCAGGCTGACCTTAAATTCATGCTGATCCTCCTGCCTTGGCCTCCCAAGTGCTGGGATTACAGGTGTGTGCCACCTCACCTGGCTGTAGGGTTTGAATTTTATTATCAAGTTTTTAAGAATGAAACATCATTTATAAATGGCTAAATGCTTAAATATCATAAGTCAAAAGAATAAAAATAAATAGCCAGGTGTGGTGGTGTATACCTGTAATCCCAGGGGCTGAGGCAGGAAGATTACCACAAGTTTGAGGTCAATCTGGGCTACATAAAGAGTCCAAATTCAGCCTGAACTACATAAAAAACAAACAAAACCAAGAAACCAAAAAACAAAAACACCAAAGTTGGTGATAGAAAGAGCCCATGAACCATAACCAAGTAATACACATCTCTAGCACACCCAACCTCCACCCTCCTCAGTGGTGTCTCCTGGCCCAACCCAAGATGAGTCATATACCCTGTCCCTGGCATGGATAAAGATAACTTTTTAGTCAGGATGAACTGTTTTCCACACCCTACTCTGCCTTCTTAGGCCTCTACTTGCTAGATAACATGGCAATAAGGAGGAGTGCCTGACCACTGTACTCTCACTATATGAGGTTAGATTCCAGAGTTGTATTGTAGCCTAGGGGCCTTTGACTAAGGAGAAAAAACAGAAGAAAACACCTATCCCTTGGCAAAATCTTCCTTACCCTTTAAATTCCATACAATTGTAAATGGAGAATGTACTGAAACTGTTCAGTATGACAAATATATTTAGTATATTTGACACAGTCTATACTGACTAGATTTTCATTTCAAGAATGTCAACAGGAAGTTGACCAAGGACTAAGTGTGGTTTCAGAATTCAAGGATAAGTTTACAGAAATTTGCCAAAAATATGAAGTTGTTAAGGAAAATACTGTGACTGACCAATGTTTGCATGTGTGTTGAGACAGTCTCACTACATAGTTCAGGCTGGGTTTGAATTCACCATGTACTCCAGGCTGGCCTCAAACTTGTGGCAATCCTCCTGCCTCAGTCCCCCCAGTGCTTGGACTCCAGGGGTGCACTACTACACTTGGCTTTTGGCACTGACCTATGTTGATGGCTGTCTCCTGCCCTGAGCTGGAGGAGTGGCTGATCCTAAATTGAGGGAATACATCCCCACCTGGACTCATCCTTCTTCGCCTGTGTCTCAGTAACTATGACTCTCACATATAAGGGTATTATCCCTGCTCCTCCAGAATCTTTCCTAATTGCCCAGGAAGACTTATCAATTCACCAAGAATAAAAGATTTTCTCTAAGTGCCCCTGTCTGCCTACCTAAGGTAATTGTATATCAATAAGATCTTCCTCTACCTGCTCGGTAATGCTTAGCCTTGAAATAAATATATACAGAGAAAATCTGCCAAAAAAAGGTACACACATTTTAGAAAAACTTGTATCAGTGTTTTAATACTTTATCTGTGGAGGACCCTAAATGATGTCCTGTATCGCAGGACACTACACTGCTACACTAATCCACTACACTGCTGGCCCTTAGAGAAGAAATTGAAAATGCATGAGCAGCAGTCTTAGCGACCAAGGTGACCCATGCAGCAGTTCAATATACTAATAAATGTCAGGAAACTAATAAGCACCACTTTGAGTACTTGTTGTAATTGTAGGTAACGTATTAATCTTATGATGCCTCAATAAATTAACTATCAATAAAATATTCAACCAAGTGGGGTTTTTTTTGTAGACTTGTTTTGTCTTGCTTTATTTTTCATAAAAGGTCCTGCTATGTTTCCCAAGCTGGTCTCAAACTCCTGCCATCAAATAGTTCTGCCTCAGCCTCCAAAGCAGCTGGGGCCATAGGTAGTTGGCACCAGGTGCAGCTTTTGGAACAATTTTTTTTTTTTTTTAAAGAATCTGCCTCTTAGAGCTGCTGGCACACTTCTGTAATCCCAGCAGTCAGGAAGTTTAAGTAGGCAGATTGTTGCAAATCTGAGACCAGCCTGGGCTACAAAGTGTTTCCAAGGCTAGCTTGAATCTCACCAAGGGTTCTTTTTGTTGTTGTTGTTGTTGTTTGGCCTTTTGTCTTTTTGAGACAAGGTCTCACTATGCAGTTCAGGCTAGTCTCCAGCTCCCTTTGTAGCCCAGGTTGGTCTCCAACTTGCAATGATCCTCCTGCTTCAGCCTCCAGAACGCTGGGATTAAGATGTGTGCACCACCACAGCTAACTTACAACTTTTTCTCTTCCTTACATGTGTACACATATTTTTAGCAGACTCTGTAAATATAGATAAGGAACATAACCAATGTTTTACCCTCCATTTGTATCATGCTTTTATAGAAAATACTTTAAAGAGGCGACCTATAAAGGCACTTGTGAAATTAAAATCCACTGATAAGTTGGAGACTACTGCTAAGGTATCACTTTTTTGTGACACCTTATAATCAGATGTTATTAGCTAAAATTCCGAACATTTTCCACTGAATTAACAAACCACACACTGTAAGAAATTAATTTCTTTCAGGAATTTGGTGATCTGCTGTAACAACCTGAAAAACTAGAAATGACAGTAAGTTTAACATTTATGCTATTCCGCACATGGTAGCATAGTACACAGTGACTAAACACTGTCCTATTTTCAGTATTTATCCTGCACATCCAAAAAAAAAAAAGGACACGTAGTGTTCAGTTATTTTGTTGGACGAGATTGAAATGGTATCTGCAAAGAAACGTGAGCGGCACCCAGCACCGCCCTCGGGAAGGCATTCGCTGATAAAAGAGGCAAGTTAGCACTGGGCCTGCCCGCCAAGTGCGAACTCAGGGCTCCGAGGTGGGCAACTCAACCGCTGCCACAGAGCCAGCCCAGAAGAGGGCTCGCACCCCGACCACCATTCCAGTCCTCGCGCTGGGCCCCAGGCGGAACCACGTCCGCGTTCGCGGCCCTGCGCGTCTTTCGCCACCTGCCCGCACTCCCTGCCACAGTCCTTCTCTACTGGGCCAGCCAGGCCAAGTCGGCCGGTCCTCCGCCCGACAGCCTCCCAGACGTCTCGCCCAACCTCCCGCCGCCGGGCCAGGGCACACCCCAGCTGCACGTGCGGACTCACCGGCCCGACGCGAACGACTCTCCGCCGGAAGCGCCGCCCGCCTAGAAGCGCGCCGCTGAAGCTCTTCCGCAGAGCGCTGCAGCCTGGCAGAAACGTTCCGGCTGCTGCGGACAGCAGCTGCCAGAGCAGGGTGCAGGCCGGGGAGCGGCGGGGCCTGCTGAGTCGGCCGGGCAGCGGTAGCCGCGCTCCGCTGGGGCCGGTTGGAGGAGACTGATTTGATTTCTAAAAGATTTCAACGAAAGAGGCTGACTGCGCCTGTTCATCTCACAGGATTTATTAAGCTCCGACTTTGCGCTTGAAACCTCTGGAGCCACTGAGGAAACAGCAATGAAATCTGACCAGAAAAACGCTTTGGACTTGGAATTTCGCTTTAAGGACAGTGATCCAGAAGAGCTCACTGTGCCCACTGTGCACTGTAAGGATGGTGCTGCCGAGAGAAATTAAGATTGGAGAAGGAAAGGGTTGCAGTTCAAAGTAAAGGTAGTCCGAGGAAATTTTCAGGACAACAGGCGAGCCATAGTCCAGTGAAGGAAAATGTTCACCACACTCCTACCTGGGGAAAGAGCTGTGGAGGCAGAGGGGCTGGGAGTGCAAAGGCCCTGAGGCAGAATCACCTCAGTGTGGGTAGGGGGACTCCAAGATGAGCATGTGGCAGCTGAGAGCAGTGCAGATGGTGAGGTGGTTTTACTCTAAATCTTGTGAATAGGGTGGCTGTATATTATGAAAGAAGAACCAGAGGTTTTAGCTGCGCAGCTTTAAGGGTGTAGCGCACCTTTGAGGTTGGTGGGGGGATCACATCAGTTTACTTTGGGCAAGCTGATATGCCTATTAACACGATGGAGTTACATTTCCAGGCTTGGAAAGTGGAGAAGCAGGGAAGTTCCAGAGTCCCTGCAAAGGTTAGGACCAGGAGAGATAGTAGAAAGGAGCTCCATGAACTGGGACTTTTTCTTCCCTGTCGGCATATCTACCCGTTGCTTATTTTGTTTTGTTGGTACCAAAATCTTCCCCATATGCATCAGGCCTCAATCAAAAATGTTGACAAAAAAATAAAAAAAGTTGCCAAAAGGTTTCCTACATTGTACTGTAAATAAAAGAGCTGGATTTAAAATCAAGGTCTGGCCAGCATGGTAGCACATGCTTATAATCTCCACACTTTAGGAGGCCGAGGCAGGCCTGCAACATCAAACTCATCCTAAGCAACTGAGATTCTGACTTCAAATAAAAAATAAAAGGCCTGGGTTCAATCCCTAACGCCGTAAAAACACAAGTACATTAGATCAGGCTCTGATGCCATCTGTGGGCTTCAAGCAGTCACGGCCTAAACCAGGGAGGCCATCTGTAAAACACCAGGGAGGCCATCTGTAAAACACCAGGGAGGCCATCTGTAAAACACCAGGGAGGCCATCTGTAAAACAGAGGGCTCCACCTCCACAGGGCGTGGTGGCAGCAAGAGGGAAATGGAGAGATACTAGCACTGCTGCTTGTTTCTTTGTGCCCGGAGCCTTGTAGCCTGGCCGCCCTCATACCTTTCACCCTTGTCCAGGACACAAGACTTACACTTTTCCTTTCTCTTACCTACCCACTCCTCTCTCATTCTTTCCCCTTTCCCTTTCTTCCTTGCCCTGTAATCAGCCATCCTAGTCCCAGGAAGGGGGCGTGGCCATGCAGCAAAGAACTGTAATTCCAAACCCTGTTTGTTAGCCACCACTCTGGGAAGACTTTTTTTTTTTTTTTCCAAAAACCATGAAAAGGTCAGAAGATTCTCCCGACAAATATGAAGCATCTTTGTGAAAGACTGACACATTAAGAATTTTCCCAACTGTAACTTGCATAAAGGAAGGGTTAGTAGAGGAAAGCAAAGCATGTGTAAATCCATGGTAATCTCCCGGCGTAATTACGGCTAATATTCTAATCATATCCAAAGTGGTAGAATAAAGGAACTATCCAATTTAGCCAAATGCTTTTCTCCACTTGTAAAACTAAGGAACTACAATAAAGAATGAATCTATTCTTTGCCATGGCTAGTGTCTTGGTTACTTCTTATCTTGTTGAGACCAAAATATCTAACGCCCAATGTGAAGGGGGAAAAAAAATTTATTTCTTAGTTTTTGGAGATTTCAGTCCATACTCAGCGGGGTCCAAGGCAGGGTGGCATGGCACTGGGGCAACACTTCAAGGCAGCAGCCAGAACAAAAAGGAAGAAAACAAGCCTTTTCTCCTGGTTTATATTGTACACAGGCCATGCCCGCACCCAGGGTGGGTGTAGCACTCAGGACATCTCCCTGCCCTCCTTTGCTCAGGATGAGGATATTTACAAAGTAAGGACCCTGCCTCCCTGCTGAGTCTCTCACACTTCTAAACTGCTCAAATTGACACAATGTATTAACCATAAGGACATAATCCGGAATGTGGAAGTTCATCAGCAGCTCAGCCAGTGCAATCTAAGTAAATAGACAATGGATGTGACCTGAAAGACCAGCAGAGATAGACTTTCTTTTCCTGTTTTTGAGACAAGGTCTCACTGTGTAGTTTAGGCTGGCCTTGAACTAACTCATTCTTGTAGCCCCGGCTGGCCTCAACCTCACACAGTTCTTCTCCCTTTGCCTCCTGAAGTGCTAGAAAGTAACTCAGATCCACAGTTTGCTACAGCAGTTTAAAAAAAATTTTTTTAAATGTTATTTACTTCGTGGTACTGGAGACTGAACTCAGAGCTGTTACACTGAGCTACATACCCAGCCTTTTTTTTTTTTTTTTTAAAGTTTTAGTCTGGGGATGATAAAATAAGTTGCTCAAACTGGGATAGAATTTGGGATCCTCCTGCTTCAGGCTTTCAGAGTTGGGAGTAGAAGCACATATACCACTCAGTTCATGATCTTCACTTGTAAATTCTATTTGTTCTATCCCTAGAGGCATTTGTTCACCACCTAGGAATAGTCACATGCCAAGCCTAGTGTTTACCTATATGGCATAAGAGGATTTAAAGCTGTACCCAGCAAAGACTAAGCTATGGGATAGGAACACACATACTCCCCCCACCACCACCACCACTTTAGTGGTACTGGGGATTGAACCCAGGTCCTCTGCACTGAGTCACATCTCTAACCCATGTTTTTTGAGATAGGGTCTTAACTAAATTTCCTCAACTGGGCTTGAATTTGCAATTCTTTGCCTCAGCCTCCCAAGTGCTGGGATTACTGGGATGCACTACACACTTGACTAAACATACACTTTTTTTTGAGACTGGGTGGTGGTATGTAGTGTAGGGTACCAACACAGTCAGCTAAACATAGACTTTTAAAAACATAATTTGTTGGGGCTGCAGGTTTAGTTCAGTGGCATAAGCGTCTGCCTTGCAAGCAGGCAGTCGTGAGTTCGATCCCCGGTACCGATAAAAACCAAAAAGACAAAAAAAAAAAAAAAAAAAAAAACATAATTTGTTTTTGTTTTTGGTACCAGGGATCAAACTCATGACCTAGCACTTGTGAGGCAGGATAAATGCCCAGCTTTAAAAACACAATTTGTTAAAATCTCTTAGTTTCAATTGGGTGTGGTGACGCATGCCTGTAATCCCTGTAGTCAGAAGGCTGTGGCACTCCTGCCACGTGGCACCCCAAGTTGGAGGCCATCCTGGAATATATGGTAGGTTCCACTCCAATTTGGACTATATAGCAATACTGGTCTCAAAAACAAAACAGTAGAGCTTATTAATTTCACTCTTTGGAAGACTAACTGGCCGTACTATGTTTGGACAAGGACTGCTCATACATTCCCTTCACAATGAGATCGTTGCATTTGTCACACTTACCTTCACAGTAAAATGCTATCTTTTACAAATAACAGAAAATTGAGGTTCAGGAGGGGCTGGGGATTTAGCTCAGGGCATAAGCAAGAGCTTCTTTTTATGTATATCTCCTACCTGTTCTTCTGGTAACTTAGAGCAAGTTCTGTTTACATGATGCCACTTGCAGCAGTTGTAGACAGCTGTCATGATCATACATAAATGTCCTGATCATTTCACTGAGGGAATTAAAATATTATAAGTCGGATTAGTGGCATATGCCTTTAATCCAAGCTGTTTAGGAGTTAGAGGTGAAAATCAAAAAGTTTGAGGCCAGTCTCAGCAATGTAGCCAGAGCCTGTCTCAAAATGAACAAATTAAGCTGGAGCCAGCTGCGGTGGCACATACCTGTAATCCCAGCCCTCGGGAAAGCTGAGGCAGAAGGATCCCTACTTCAAACCCACCCTAGGCAATTTGGCAAGACCCTGTGTCCAAATACAACAGTGCTGAGAAAGTAGCCTCCTTTGAAGGCCCAAGGTGAAGTCCCCAGCACTGCAGAAAAATAAACAGAATGACGGCGTGGGCATGAAGTAGTGAAGTGGAGAGGCACCCTGGGTTTGATCTGCACTGCCAGAAAGTGTTCTTTGTACTGGGAGTCATTCTCAGATCAAAATAGAATGTACAGCCCAGCTGCTATTAACTCAAATTTTTCTGCTGTTTGAAATAATGAGGAAATACTCTACTGCTTACTTTTTGTAGATCTTTTTTTATAGAATTCTCATGTATAATATATTGTTTTATTTTAACCTAACAGAATTAAAACATGCTTCGGAAAGTAAGCTTCTAAAACTACAAACTGAGAATAAAAAAACTGAGAAAGGAGCTGGGCAGTATGGAAAATTCAGACAAGATAAACACCATGCAACAAAGCCTACAGACAGAGATGGAGCTTGCTACAGTTACTCAACATGTGTTCCAGGTAACATTTGTATAAATCAGGAAAGGAGGGATAAAGATCTTTTAAAAACACTGCTGATATGGATACCTTACCATGGTTTAGGTTAGGCTGTGGTCATAAGATATTTCAGTACAAGGACTGAGTACGTAGCCGCACTGGAGAACGCTTGCCTAGCATTGGTGAGGCCCCAAATTCAGTCCCAGCATTGCAAAAATCGTACTTGTCTACTGATATTTGCTGTAAAATTCATGTACAGTAATGTACATTTCTAATGTACATTTTACAGAATATGTAAAATTCATGTACAGTCAGCATTTAGGGGTTCATTTTTCATTGTGGTTAATCATTAGGATTTATAACTGGCATATTTTCTATAGCTCTGCTGGTAATTTGGTGTACAGCTTTATTTTAGCCTCCAAGTTTGAGGACAGAGGGGACCTGGGTGAGAGTGGCAGCTAAGAAGGTGACTGCTGCCACTGGGAATTTAGCTCAAGTGGGTGCTCAAGGACATGGGGTTGATCCCAACCCCATCACACAGAGAGAAATATCAGCATGATGACTGGTCCAACTAAACTCTAGTAAATGTTGCCGTAAGATGTTTCCTCAGAGACATTAATGGACAAAAAGACAGACAGACAGACAGACAGACAGACAGACAGAAAGAAAGAATGAAAGAAAGAAAAAAGAAAGAGACAGAAATACAGAGAAAAAAGAGACAGCAAAAGACAGAAAAAGAAAGAAAGATAGAGAGAAAGAAAGAAACTAGAAAGAAAGAAATTAAGAAAGGGAGAAAGAAAGAAAGAAAGAAAGGAAGAAAGAAAGGAAGAAAGAAAGAAAGAAAGAAAGAAAGAAAGAAAGAAAGAAAGAAAGAAAGAAAGAAAGAAAGAAAGAAAGAGATAGAAAGAAAGAGAAGGCTGAGCTGGCTGTGGAGGCCCATGTTTGTCCGCACAAAGGGCTGGGAAAGCAGCTCAGTGTGGTGGCCATGGGTTCAAACCTTGGGCCTAGGGATGAAAGAAGCAGAAACTGTCCATGGAAATTGATGAAGTATTTGCAAACATCATAAGCATACCTTTGCCCTGATGAAGCCTCTTGTAAGTAGAAATGAAGGCAACAGTGTATCATGCGCTGGGACTACAGGCAAGTGTCACAGCACCTGCCTGGCTAGCATGAGGTCCTGAGTTGAATTCTTGGGACAGAAAAAAAAAACTTGTGTATTACTCTTTTCTGTGAATACAGAGCTACTGTACCTTTCTAGTAAATGTTAAAAAAAAATTAGATAAAGTTAGTGAAGGGATTATTTAACAAAAATCTTGTTAAAATTTTAAAGGGCTTGTATTTTAAAGTTGTTATATTTTGAGTTATTTTTGTTTTTATTTTAAACTATAGAACGTCATTTTGGGGTGTAAAGTCAACTGGGCAGCAGATCCAGCACTCAAGGAAACTGTTCTGCAGCTTGAAAGGCTCTCACCGCAATCTAACAAGAATTCCACTGGGCCAGGTGTTGCCATGTGTGCCTTTGATCTGAGCACTCAGGAGGCTGAAACAAGATTGCCACATGCTGAAGACCAGCAAAGATTTGTACCTTGCAGTTTTTGGAATTTTGTCTCTGTATGTCATTTAAATAGAAAGTTTCAAGTGAAATGAATTTGCGATGTTTGGGGAACTCTCCTAATCTGTAATTGCTTTTTAGCTTCAGTTAACACTCTAACCTAGAATCGGTCATTTTAAATAACAGTAAAGTGACTGTGTACTCTTCAAAGGGGAATGTCTTAGTCATAGAAAAGACACCTGGTCTGATATCTGAGGAGTAGGCGCAGTTTTGGACATTCACAAGGTCCCAGCATTTAATTGTAATACTTGTGTGCATTTCTGCATTTGTCAGTCAGGATGCAGAGAGGTCTCCAGAGTGTCAGCAGCTGGTGTAATTCGTAGTGGGGTTCTGAGTAACTGTCTTGTGTTCTCCCTGGGTCTGTTTCTCCCCTCACACATACTTCTGCACATGCACATACATAATGCTGGCTACACCCTGGCAATGCTGATGTACAGTGACATCCATGCCCATTTTCACTTCTGTTTAGAGACAAGCTCTTGCCAACTTAGCAAGGCTGGCTTCAGACTTGGAACCCTCCTGAACAACTGGGATTACAAGCATGTACTGCCATGTTCAGTACAGCTCTTTATTAATTAGGAGCTATTGATCATATTTATGGACAGTGTGGTGTTTTCAGTATTCTTACTGGAATAAAGTGAAACTTGAAAAGATGTGCTCATTGGATAATAGCTCGTGAAATCTGTTCTTTAGATTAATAACAAAGAGAGATTTTCCTGAGCTGAAACAGTAGGCTTTTCTTTGAAATACTTATACCTTGTTTTCTTTGATCAATCTTAATGTGTGCATAGTTTTATTCTTTTTGTCAGTTATTGTTTTGAGGTAGAGTCTCACTGTGTCCTTCAGGGCCTTCTTGAACTCACTATGTAGCCCAGGCTGTCCTAGGACTTCCTGCAGTCCTCCTGCCTCAGCCTCCTGAGTAGTAAGGTTACAGGCATGCACCACCACACCTGACCTCCTGTTGTCTATATCAATTGTTATGAAGCAACCTACTTTTTGTGTGCAAATTATTATTTTGGAAAATGCTTTTCTGTTCCAGTAATCCACACAGGAACTGTTTGTTTGTTGTAGTACTGGGCATTGAACCCAGAGCCTTTGTGCTAAGTTCTCTTCAGCCATTTATTTTTTTTTTAATTTGTTATTTTGAGATAGGATCTCATCAAGGTGCTGAGTTGCCCAGGCTGGGCTGAAACTTGATCCTCCTGCCTCAGCCCCTAGAAAACTGGCAGTCTAGCAGTGCACTACCACAGTCACTTGACACTGTATTAGTAAATTTCAAACCGCGGACCACCTGAAAAAGTGTGCCTTTATCTGGGACCTCAGTGGTCTTTGACTTGTCTGTTACCCAGCTCTGAGAGAGGAAGAGTAGGCTTTGCCTGAACTGTTGCTGAATACGGACCTCACAGCTCACTGTTTTATGCCATTTACTTCTGTCTGGGTTTGAGGTTCAGCCGCCCACTCTAGGACTCCATTTGAGGGAGCAGCCACTCCGCAGAAGGCAGGGGCTCCTTAGATCAGGTCAAGTGCATTCCACAAGCAGAATGTAATCCTCTGCTTGGGGAAGGCAGCCGTAGTCTCAACCCCACATCACAGAGGCCTTGGTTTTTCTCCGAGCAAGCGAATGCTGCATTTCAGAGTCAGGAAAAGGAAATGGGAATTTGCTACAAATGACATGATCTACCTTAGTCAGCTTTGCTCCATAAATAGACACTCAAGACTAGGGAGGTGCCAGCTGTCCTAGTGACTTGGGAAGCTAGGGCAGGACTGCTTCAGCCATGGAGGTCAAATCCAGCCTGGGAAATACTGGAGACCTAATGTCTGGCTTATAACCACATCCACAAAAAGACACCCCTCTCCAGGAAGTAAGCCAACAGCACAGCCTCTCCTGGTGTTATTTCAAGCTTCAAGAGAGCTCTCTCTTTCCTCACTCTCTCTCTCTCTGTCTGTCTGTCTGTCTGACTCTCTCTTTCTCTCTCTCTGTTTCTCCCCCCTGTGTCTCTGTCTCTCTGTCTTTGTGTCTCTCTCTGTCTCTGTCTCTGTCTCTCTCTCCCTCCCTATTCCTTTTTTTTTTTTTTTAACAGAAAACAATGTAAGCTTTTTTATTGCACAAAAATAGAAATAAACTTTGCTATTTTAGCCATTAGGTAGATAGCGCAAGGGCACCTTCACAATGCACTGCAGTGGTCACCACTCTGTCTGTACAAACTTTTCCATCTTTCTAAACTAGAACTCTGCACCACTAAGCAGTCGTTCCCCATCGCCTCCTTCCGAGACTGCCCACCACCCTTTGGCTTTTCACTCTGTAGTTTGACTATTGTAGTCTTTTTATCTAAGCGGGGACTTATGAGTCCATGTTAAGGCATGTTGGGAATTCCTCCCATTTTAGGGCTGGATAATGTGCCATTGTCTGTCTACACTGCATTTCCCTTATTCATCGTGTGTGAGTGTAGCCCTGGGTTGCTTCCACCATTTGCTTCCAGGTACAGTGCTACTGGGAATGTCTGTCCCAAAGCACTGCCTCATTGTCATTGCCTGTTACTGGACTGTTTGACTTTTAAGTCTTCTTGGTCCAGTTTTTTTTTTTTTTTCCTAAAATTCATTCTTCAATTTTATTTTATTTTTTTTTTTTAATTTTATTTAAGGAGAAAAGAAAAAACAAACAGGGAAAGGGTACAAGTTATACAGATTTACAGAAAAAAATTGAACAGTAGGAAATCACTAGTTAATGGATTACACATTGTCATCTTAGAAATAATTGTTCAAGTCACAAAATTAAAGCTTGTAAAGTGGACATTCCATCAATGATACTGCAAACAGTTCTGTTCATTGATCCAATAAAACTCTGTGATATCATTTTCTATCTTATACACTTAAATATACATGCAGTTATATAGTTTGGAGCACTCCCTCCCTATTCCTGTTGCAGGCGGTCTCCTTATGTAACTGGCCTAGAACTCACAGGGATCCTCATGCCTCCGCCTCCCAAGTGCTGGAGTGAGAGGTGTGCTTTACACACACAGATTGTCTTGTTCTTCAATTGTTCTTCGCTTCAGTATTGGGGACTGATAACCTGGTTCATAGGCTGTTTTAGTATATGAAGTTTTACCGCAACAATGCCATGCCAGTATGTTCACATGTTAACTGGGCTTGCTTTCTTGCTATGATAAAATAGTGTAACCTAATGAAGTAACTGTAATAGTGACCCAAAGGCAGCTGCAATGCGTTTTTCCATAGGACAAGGTGTTGTGAAAAACAGGTTACCAGCCCTGTGGGAGCTGGCTTATGTTTGAGGGACAGCAAAGAAATACCAGTACGGCCCTCTCTCAAGGGCTCAGGGCTCTGCATGGGAATTGAAGAGGGGATTGTCACTACCTTCAGTCAGGGTTGCTTTGCGAATAGTGACCTCCATGCTGTTGTGCCCACGTGTGTTTTTCTGCTCCTTTTCCTGTCATAAGGCCTCACGAACCTTGGTGGTACATGGGGTGGCAGTTCTGCCTCCCTCATTTTTGCCTTGACATGTGCCCAGGCATCCTGGGGCTGGACCTAGTAATCCTCAGGTTTTCCTTCACAATGGATTGAAAAATCTAATTATGGTGTGGAAAGTTTATTTTGAATTACCTGAATTATTCTTAATTGTTTATGTGATTCATTTCACTACTGAATTACTACACCCTACATGTTAGATCCAAACATTTTATTAAAATATTTTTTATCAAGAGACCTCAGCCTGGACTAGGTACCTCCTGTCGCATCACCCACTGTGCTCTGGCCTGACTTCCAGCCAACATTGGGGATGGAGTCACTGGCCGAGCAGAGGAAGGGCGAGGACAAGGAAGGTGGTGACACTCCGGGCACACAGGCCGAAGGTGGGCATAGGAGTGGAACAGGCAGGTGCGTGCACTAGGTCCTAGTCAGTCCTGGTGTGCACCCTGCCACCCAGGGAGCAGTGCGTACAGATGGCGCATCCCATGCCTTGTAAGCAGACACAGTGAAGATGAGGACGGACAGACTGAGCACTGATGGTGAATCATTCAGTGACCTGGTAGCAGTCTCTGGGCAGACTCTACCTGTGGGAAGTGAAGATAGAATTCCTGCTTTTGCTTCAGAAGCATTTACCATCCTCATCCTGTGGAAAAGTCATCTGCAAGGAGCCTGCATTGGGAATTCCGTGAAGTAGAGTCAGTGCCAGCACTCTCCTGGCAGGCTCCCTGAAGCGGTCCATTCGGATGTGATTGGGACTGTGATTCACTGAACACTCTCTTATGCCTCCTGTGTGACTGTGTTTTGCTTAGTTTATATTTTTATTGGTATGTGATCACAGTACATAATGATTCTATTCATCAGAGGCAGTTGGTGGATATGCATGATAGATTTTTCCTTGATGTGGTAGAAAAACAAGAGTAAAGAAAGGCAAAAACAAAAAGGCCTTTATTGCTGGCATGGGAGGGCTGCAGAGGGGTGCAAGATCCCTTCAGGGCAGGCAAAGAAACCTGGAGCCTTTTATTGAGTTTGAGAGGGGTGGAGTTCGAAGGGGTGGGCAGAGTGACATTTTGACAGTTACTGGAGGGATTGTTGATGTGTGCACAGCAAGTGGGAAGTTCACTTTTTGGGTTTGCAAGAACAATGTGGAAGTCAGTTTTGAAGTGAGGTACTGTCCAGTGCCATGTTGCGCAGGCACCACGCTGAGCCTGGCAGTGCTCCACAGGAGCGGAATCCATTATTCCCATCTTTTGGGTGTTAGAGGCAGCAACTCTTAAACTGCTTCCTGCTGACTGAGGTGACATGATGGGCATTGAAGTAGTCATTGTGATGACAGGTTGGACCCGTGTAGAATCTGGTACCAGGGGTGCCCTCAGGACAAGGAATTATCTTGTTATAAAGGCCCACAACCTGGATTTGAGGAAATCTTCAGGAAAGTTTAAACAGACAAGGAGCTATAATCAAGAAATAACAAGTAGTATGAGAGGTCCTGCCAGGGGAAGAAGCTAGGAGGAAAGTGTTCCCTTTTCTATAATAGCAGCAGTTAGACGTTTTTGCAGATATTAATGTAATGTATTGTTTTTTAAATTTTATTTAAAAGGAAAAAGAGAAAAACACAAAACAAAACAAAGCGGTGTAAGGGTAAAAGTAATACAGAACTGCAAAAAAAAAAAAAAAAGTAAGAAATCACCAGTTAATAGATTACATATTATCATCTTAGAGATAGTTGCTCAAATCACAGTATCAAAGCATAGAAAGTGGACATTCAAACAGTGAGACTGCAAACAGTTGTGTTCAATGAATGATCCAACCAAAAACATTAATATGGTCAGCTATTTAACACCCCTAAACACACTTGCTCTTGTATCCTTTAGAGCTCTTTTTTACAACAAAATTTACACATTTTGGGTTTTATTACTCCTTAGTTCTTATTACTTTTGGGGGGGGAGAGAATAAATCAAATGTGGCAAAACAGAGCTGTCGGTCAAAACCAAGGATAGACATAGCACATGATGTAAAACAGAGTACAAGGTTATCAACAATGGTTATCAACAATGTCTCTTGTTTCCTTAAAAAGAATTGTCTATCTCATTAGATATTATAAAGTTGAACAAAACAGTAGAGAACAAGACCAATAAAACTTAAGCATTGTAAACATTACAGGACTTCCAAAGGAGACAATAGTCAAACCAGAATGGGCATCTTAGTGAATCTTATTGCCTTCAAAGTAGTTGCCTATACCCTCAAACTTGATACTATCATACACAATGGAACAGAGTCTAAACAGCCAAAACAAGATAGTGGGAGTATTACAGGACTTCAAAACAAGTTAATAGGAAATCAAAAAGTTACTATTATATATCCTGCTATTTTTTTAAAAATTTCCCCTTAATTATAACAAACATAAGAAATAAATAAATAATTTTTTTAAAGAATAAGGGAGAGATTGAGATAAAAGAGGACATAACAATATAACAATACAGGTCAAAGCATGACTGTTTCAGCAACCTAGTGCTTCACCACCAAATAACCGGACTTAATAGTAGTTACCATAGTGTCTGTCTTTTTCCTTGAAATATTTGAATAAAACTTCATATACTATAGCTTCAAATATTTCCATATCAAGAAGCCCAGAATATAGCCTTTCCAATTAATAAGTGAAAACCTTATAAGGCTTCAAGGCCACATAATGGGGAATCATGATTACCACATATTTTTATATATTTGAATCATTACTTACATTAGGGAAATTATTCGGTATTCACACATGTGAGATTCGTTTATCTCACTTATGAGTATGGTCTCAAGCTGCGCCCATTTATTGATAAATATCTCAATGTGATCCTTCTTTATAGCTGAATAATACTCCATTGTATAGAAATACCACAACTTTTTTATCCATTCCTCAGTTGATGGACACTTGGGTTTTTTCCAAGATCTGGCAATTACAAATTGTGCTGCTATAAACATAGGTGCGCATATATCACTGTGGTATGATGCTTTCAATTCTTCTGGGAATATGCCTAGAAGTGGAATAGCTGGAATAAATGGGACTTCCAATCCCAGCTTTTTGAGAAATCTCCAGACTGACCTCCACAAAGGCTGCACCAGTCTACACTCCCACCAACAGTGTAGGAGAGTTCCTTTTTCCCCACAGCCTCTCCAGCATTTGTTGTCGGTTTTCTTGATCCTGGCCATTCTTTCAGGAGTGAGATGGTATCTCAGTGTGGTTTTAATTTGCATTTCTCTAATGACCAGTGATGATGAACATTTTTTCATGTATTTATTTGCCATTTGCATTTCTTCATCTGAGAAGTGTGTATTCATCTCAGATGCCCATTTTTGGATTGGATCTTTGAATTTTGGGGGTCTGAGTTTTTAAAATTCTTTATATGTTTTAGACAAGAGTCCCTTGTCTGAGAGAGAGTTCACTAAAATCTTTTCCCAGTTTGTGGGTTTTCTTTTCACTATGCTGGAGATTTCCTTTGACATGCAGAAACTTTTTAATAAGAAGTGGTCCCAGTTATTGATTCTGGGAAGTATTTCCTGTGCGGTTTGAGTCCTGTTCATGAATTCTCTACCTACTCCTATGTCTTCAAGGTTTCTACCCAATTTGTCTGCCAATATATTTAGTGTTTCTGTTTTAATATTCAGATCTTTGGCCCATTTAGATTTTAATTTAGTACATGTTGATAGACATGGGTCTAGCTTTAGTTTTCGGCAAATGGAGAGCCAGTTTTTCCAGCACCATTTATTAAAGAGACTGTCGTTCTTCCAGTGAACCTGCTTGGCTCCTTTATCAAAGATAAGGTAGTTGAGTGTGTTTGTAGTTGTGGTTGTATCTTCTAATCTATTCCATTGATCTTCAGCTCTGTTTTGATTCCAATACCATGTTGATTTTACTACTGTTGCTTTGTAGTATAACTTCAAGTCAGGGATTGTGATGCCTCCTGCTTTGTCTTTGCTGCTTAGAATTGCCTTTGCGATTCTAGGTCTCTTCTGGTTCCAGATGAAATTTAGGAGTGATTTCTCTATATCTATAAGGTATGTTGACGGTATTTTTATTGGGATTGTATTGAATCTGTATAACAGTTTTGGGAGAATGGCCATTTTCACAATGTTTGTTCTTCCTATCCATGAGCAAGGGATGTCTTTCCATTTTCTGAGATCATCTTCAATTTCTTTTTTCAGTGTATTATAATTTTCACTGTATAAGTCTTTCACTTCTTTCATAAGAGTAATTCCTAAATATTTCATTTTTTTGCTTGCTAATGTGAAGAGTGCAGTTTCTCTTATTTCCCTCTCTGTGATTTTGTTGTTCATGTATAGGAATGCTATTGATTTCTGAGTATTGATTTTGTATCCAGCCACATTACTGAATTTATTTATTGTATCTAAGAGTCTTTCCATGGAGTTTAGGGGGTCTTCTATGTAGAGTATCATGTCATCTGCAAACAATGATAACTTAACTTCTTCTTTTCCTATCTTTACCCCTTTTATTTCTCTCTCTTGCCTAATTGCTCTGGCTAATACTTCCAGTACTATATTAAATAGGAGTGGTGATAAAGGACATTCTTGTCTTGTGCCTGATTTTAAAGTAAAGGCTTTCAATTTTTGGCCATTTAGTATGATGCTGGCTGTTGGTTTGTCATAAATGGCCTTTATTATATTGAGGCAAAGACCATCTATTCCAATTTTCTGTAAAGTTCTTATCATGAATAAATGTTGGACCTTATCAAAGGTTTTTTCTGCATCTATAGAAATGATCATGTGATTCTTATTTTTGGCTTTATTGATATGGTGGATTACATTTATTGATTTACGTTCGTTGAACCATCCTTGCATTCCTGGGATGAATCACACTTGGTCATGTTGTATAATCTTCTTGATGATTTGCTGCATCCTGTTTGCCAATATTTTATTGAGGATGTTTGCATCTGTGTTCATTAGGGAGATCGGTCTATAGTTCTCTTTTTTAGTTGGGTCTTTCTCAGGTTTTGGTACTAGAGTAATATTTGCTTCCAGGAATGACTTAGGAAGGATTGCTTCCCTTTCAATTTCATTGAATAGTTTGAGGAGTGTCAGCATTAGGTCTTCTTTGTATTTCTTGTAGAATTCTGCAGTGAATCCATCTGGGCCTGGGTTCTTCTTGGTGGGTAAGGACTTAATTACATCTTCAATTTCATTAACAGAGATTGGGTTATTCAACAGTTTTACATCCTCTTGATCTAGCTTTGGTACTTCATATGTTTCTAAGAATCTGTCTATTTCTTCTGTGTTATCAAACTTTTGAGAGTAGAGGTTTTTGAAATAGGTGTTGATGGTCTTCTGTATTTCTATTGGGTCTGTAGTGATTTTACCTTTTTCATTTCTTATTGCATGAATTTGAGCTTTTTCTTCCCTTTTTAAAATAAGGTTGGCTAGGGGCTTATTGATTTTATTTATTCTTTCAAAGAACCAACTCTTTGATTCATTGATTCTTTGGATTGTTTTCTTAGTCTGTATTGCATTGATTTCTGCTCTGATTTTTTATAATTTCCTCTCTTCTTTTGGCTTTGGACTTGACTTGCTCTTCTTTTTCTAGCTGTTTGAGGTGTAGCATCAAGTTATTTATTTGTATTCATTCTGTTTTCCTGATGTGGGAACTCAGTGCAATAAATTTTCCTCTCAGGACGGCTTTCATTGCATCCCACAGATTCCGGTAAGTTGTATCTGTATTTTCATTTTCTTTTAGGTATTGTTTAATTTCTTCTTTAATTTCTTCTGTGACCCACTGATTACTCAAGAGTGTGTTATTCAGTTTCCATGTGTTTGCGGGATTTTTGCAGTATCTTTTATCATTAATTTCTAATTTCAGAGCGCAATGATCTGATAACATGCAAGGGATGATTTCAACTCTTTTGCATTTGTTTAAGTATGTTCTGTGAGGTAATATATGGTCTATTTTAGAGAATGATCCATGTACTGCTGAGAAGAATGTGTATTCTGATGTTGTTGAGTGGAACATTCTGTATATGTCTATCAAATCCATTTATTCGTAGATGTGATTCAATTCTGTTATTTCTTTGCTCATTTTCTGTCTGGTTGATCTGTCCCTTGGTGTCAATGGCGTATTAAGGTCTCCTGTTACAATTGTGTTACTGATAATTTGAGTTTTCATTTCTGTTAATAGTTGTTTTATATAACTGGGTGCTCTGGAGTTTGGTGCATATATATTTAAGATAGTTATCTCTTCCTCTTTGAGTTTTCCCCTTACAAGTATGGAGTGACCTTCTTTGTCCTTTATGGTCATTGTTGGTTTAAAGTTCACGTTGTCTGCAAACAGAATGGCTATTCCTGCCTTTTTTTTTTTTTTTTTTGGATTCCTGCTGCATGAAGTATTGTTTTCCATCCTTTGGCTTTCAGTCTGTGAGTATCCTTCTGGGTTAGATGGGTTTCCTGTAAACAGCATATGGTTGGATTTTGTTTCTTGATCCATTCTGCTAGTCTGTTTCTTTTGATTGGTGCATTGAGACCATTTACATTAATGGTTATTACTGTTAAATGCTGGTTTCTTGTTGACATGTTATCTCTCTGCTGTTGCGTCTTTATCTTTCTGTTCTGTTTAATTATCTGCTTTGCTTAGTGGTTTTTTCCTTTGTGTATCTAAACTGTCTTTCAATATTTTTTGCAGGGTTGGTTTGGTGTTCATGAAGTTCTTCAGCTGTTCTTTGTCATTGAAGTATCATATTTCACCATCAATTTTGAATGATAGTTTTTCAGGATACATCGGTCTTGGTTGGAAATCATTTTGCTTTAGGATCTGGAATACTTCACTCCATGCACTTCTTGACTTTATTGTTTGTGCTGAGAAGTCTGTTGTGATTCTTATAGGCTTTTCTTTATAAGTGATCTGTCTTTTCTCTCTGATAGCTTTTAATAATCTATTCTTGGGTTGGATTTCTGGGATGGTGATTATTATATGTCTGGGTGTAGTTTTATTTTGGTTATGACTATTTGGAGTTAAATATGATTCACTGATCCTGATGTCGGTTTCTGATCTCATGCCTGGGAAATTTTCAGCTATTACTTCTCTAAATATCCTCTTGACATCCTTTATGTTGTCACCTTCTTTTTCATTAATCCCTATCATTCTTATGTTATTCTTCTTTGCATCATCTTGCAGTTGTTGAATTGTTGTTTCCTGATTCCTTGTTATTTTTAAAAGATCTTTCCTTTCCTGTTCACTAGCTGCAATCCTGTCTTCAAGGTCTGAAATTCTATCTTCACTTTCATTAAGGTGGTTTTTACAACTTTCAGTGGAGTTTTTTATTTCCTGTATATCTCTGTGCATCTGCATTATGTATTCTGTTTGTTTCTTATATTGCTCATCTAGGGATTCTATCTTTTTGTTTAGTTCCTCCAATTTTTTATCTGTGTTTTTTTTAGATATATTCAGAGTCTCTTTCATTTGTTTTATCATTTCTTCTTTTACCTGGGAGATTATTTCGAGTTTGAATTTCTTTAAAGCTTCCTGGAGTTGCTTGTTAATTTCAGTAGCTACTGTGTCCGATATTTGAGGTGAATGGCATATATTTTCTTCTATATACATTGCTCCTAGGGTTTCTTAAGATGGGCTGGAGGTTTGAGGTTGTAATTTGGTCTTTCGTTTTGTCATTTTCCTATATTTCTGTGTTTCAAGTGTTATTTGAAAGTTTCCTCAGGATCTGTTGGAAATCCCCTTCTATGTTTGCAGCTCCTGAGACTCTGGCACCCGCTACCCCAAGCCACTGGGCCTGCAGAACCAATGGCCCTCCTCTGCCTGCTCAGAACTTCACAGTTCCAGACAAGCTGGGCCTCCGGGACACTGTGCGCCCACCTGCCCGATGGAAGCTCCACAGTTCTCCAATCGCAGCCGGGATGTGGAGGCAGATGTAGACGCCTCAAACCCACCTCTCCACTTCACTGCACCTGGAAGCCTGGAGGGACCCAAACAGTCTGGGCTCTGGGCAGAATGCGCTGAGCACTCACCATAGGATGCAGGGCCTCCAGAACCCGTGATGCTCCACCGCCCGTGGAGACATCCACAGTCCTCTAGACACACGGGGCTGCCGATGCAGGCGCCCCAGATCTGCCCAGCCCCTCCTCTGCACACCGTTGGCTAGGCGCAGCAGTCCCAAACAGGCTGGGCTCCGGGGAGAGCGTGGGCCCGCCCACCCCTTGGAAGCTCAGCAGTTCTCCAAGTGCAGCCAGGATGGGGAGGCGGATGTAGAGGCCTCAAACCCACTTCTCCACTTCACTGCACCCGGAAGCCTGGTGGGTCCGGAACAGTCTCTATTGTAATGTATTTTAATGTAATTTAATTGCCCATAACAGTTGTTAATTACTGGGATAGCTGAAAACTGCCTGAAGAAGTTAAACTTGGAGCCCTTTTTATATTTTTAACTTATGACACACTTTCATAGCCTTTGATTATATTTTTTGCTGGATGTTTAAGACCAAGTTAAATTGAGACCTGTGTTAATTAAAACTAACCTCTTGCTATCTGTCAAGGGCAGGTAAGTCTCCTCAGGTTTTGTCTTGGAACCATGTATGGAGCCTCTCAGTTCTTGACAGTTTCAGCCATCAGGATGGTCAAGCAATGAGCCATTGCTTGACCAAGTTGGTTTCTGTGAAAGCTTGGGAGAGATTTCTCCTGGTGACTCTCCTTAGGCACACTGTATACTGTGTCACACTTTTTTGTAGTCCAATAATCTCCTTGATCACAAGACCCACGGAGATAAGGAATGTCACTGCAGAGGTTCTCTTATATCCTGGGTCTCCAGTGACCTCAGAAGGCTGGAGCCAAAATATTGGTTGTCCTCCCAGCCCATTCTTCTTTTTAGTTTTTGGTCTCCAACCACCTATTGTTGAACATCAAGAAGTAAGGATTGGTAATATTATAGTGTAATAAGGCAGCATGTTTAACATTATTACCTTCTCTGAATGTCAAGGACCTTAGAACATAAAAAAGCAACCAGTATTTCTATCAAGCATTGATGTCCTAGTACTTGAACCCACGGAAAATGTTGACGGTTACATAGTTTTCACAAATGACAATTATGACACTTTGTGTCAATCTGAATTTGCATTTTGACCTAAGATACCCCTTTTAGTCAATCACCTCTATCTAGTATGTAAGCTTTCACCTGACTGGTTTACCTTAATGGAATGTGCATGCAGTGTGTTTGTGTTACAGGCAGAGGTCTGAATCTGAAACAATTTGTTAAACAATCTGTGTTTTACATTTTTGGAAGGAAGACCTGTACATATGGAAGCAAGAATACATTAATACACTGTAAAGTTAATAACAATCTATCATTTTATTTGAAACCTTTGTATCAGAGCATATTTAAATCAAAAAAATTATTGTATGATTTCTTTTGACAATGACCAATGTGAACATAATACAATAATGTGTGCTCGAATTTTAGTTGGGATGTCTCCCATAAGGCTATGGAGGTCATTGGAGCCTCTGATCAATGAACAAGAACTGGTTAAATGTTACCAAGTAGCCACTTTGTGAGTCAGCAACTCCATTGAAGTCCAATCCAATAATGCCCCCCCACCCTACAGGATTTTAATTATCTTAACAATTTCTTAGCGACTTAGGAAAGACACAGACACAACATTTAACATACAATTTTTAAACAATGAGAGACTGTTATGTCACGAAACATAAATGGCAGTATTATCAAATTTACATAACCAATTATAGCCTCATTTTGATGACCTGGCAACTCAGGTAGAAGCAGGGTTTCAGACATATAACCCATATTTTGAATCCCATGATCCAAATATGGGAAAGGAAAAAATTATTGAGCTCAAGTAAAAACCAATTGTTCATGGATATGACAAACAAGTACATATACACAATGTATACAGGACATAGAAATATACACAATTTTTTTTGGTTTTCTATTGGTTTTTTAGTACCAGGAGTGGAATCATAATCTCATGGCCTTGTGCCTGCCAGAAAGGCACTTACGCTGCTGAGATAAATACACAGTCCAGAACAGACACAGTTTAACAGACAAATACAATCAGCGTGCACTCAAATATATTTGGCCAATTTGATTTCTCATAAATTTTATAGGTTGTACAATTGTAAATGTAGACTAGTGAGAACCTTTTTGCAAGCCATTTAACAGAGACCTCTTGAAATAACAACCAAAAGGAACACGTTTTATACCTGTGAAAGAAAAGATAGTAGCAAAGCAAAGACAGCTATTAGGAAGTCATAGGAGTTTACCCTGAATTGAAGCTCTTTGACAGAATGACACGGGTTGGTAGCTAAGAACCTCAGTGCTGTGAGACACGGGAAAAGGCAGAGAGAGAAAAAAGGACGTAAACATGGACCAAGTCCCCAGTGCCTGTCACCTCACAGGCAGGAGGGAGAGGTTGGCTGAGTGACACTTGGAAGCAGGCTGGGGTGGAGATAGCAGCAGCCATGCAGAGCTGGCAGGTGGTGGCAAGCAGGAGGGGACACAGAGGCTGGGCGGGGTCAGAAGGCAGTGGAGGCTGGAGGAGTGAGTTGGGGTGTGATGGGCAGGTGGGGAAATGGCCAGAGCAGGAGGAGACACAAGGTGATGGCGAGGGGCGGAGAAGATGGCAACAGAGAAAAGCAGGAAGTTTCTTGGGGATATGGCAGAGGTCCATGGTGTGGAGCAGGCCAAAGAGCTGGGGCCACCCCATATGCTGAAGGAGGGAGGGACATGCCCTGAGAGCAAAACAGGCCCCTACTTGGGCTTGCCACTGTGATTGCACAAGTCATCCAGTTTGCAGAGGGTGGCCTAGTGTATGTCACCCCCTCTGGCCAGTGGTGGACATTATGGATACAGTGGCCAGCTGTCTGGCAGGAAATGTGTGTTTTGGGGAGTGGGAAGAAGTATTTCCCATTGTGACCAAATGAGAGGTGAGCTGGATGGAGGCTCCAAAAACTGAGCCACAATCCCTTAGAGTCATCACCCTTCTCAGGCTTGTGGGAGAGAGAAATACTCTGTAGACCCCAACACCTGCACCCGCCAGTTGTCACTTAGGGAAAAAGGGGTGTGTTTCCTGAAGGATGTGGGGGAAATCCTGACATGAGCCCATGAGTTACAAGACAGGCACCCCAAAGCACGAGGTGCCTCCCCTGTGAGAACGAGGTGCTTTGGTATTGGATGGAGGATAGCAACGGCAGCCCCAGAGATGGGAGAAAGAAGAAAAACAGGGAAGAGAAAAAGCAGAGAGGGGGCTCATTGATGGGGAGCTCAAACAGGGAGTTGTCCCCAGTAACCACCCTGCCTGTCAGTCTGAGTTATGACACCAAAAATGATAAATTTTTCCTCACATGGCACAAAACAAGAACAAAGAAAGGAAAACAGGAAAAGACCTTTATTGCGGTATAAGATGGCTGTAGGAGAGTGCAAGATCCCCTCAGCTCAAACAGAGAGAAGCCTGGAGCTTTTCTTCAGTTTGACAGGTGTAGTTTGAAGGGGTGGGCAGGGAGACAGTGAGACAGTTGACTGGGGGATGTTGGCTTGTGCAAGAAAAGCAGGGAGTTCAATTTTCAGGTTTGCAAGAACAATGTGGGAGTCAGTGTTGAAGGGAAGTGCTGTCCCTTGAAGGGAGGAGCTGTCCAGGGCCATATTGGCCAGGCTCCCTGCTGAGCCTGGCAGAGCTTCACACAGGCAGAACCCATCACGTAGCACATCTCAGTTCTTTTTATGTTCTCCTCTTCCATCTCAGTCCCCTTGAGCTCAGGGAGCACCGAGCTGCATACATCCCCATAGCTTTGGATTGATTTTTAAATTCACTCATTGTTGCCAGTTGTGGTGGTGCACACCTGTAATCCCAGACTTGGGAGGCTGAGGCACGAGGGTCTCCATGAGTTCACGGCCAGCCTGGGCTAGATTAGATAAGCAAGTTCAAGGACAGCCTGCATTACATAGCAAGACATTGTCTCAAACAATCCAAAAAAAAAAAAAAAAAAAACCGGAAAGAAAAAAGAAACTTAATTTACTACTGGGTTTCATTACATTGTGGCTGGATTTGGGGTTGCTTTTTTCAAAGATGCTATACCATAGGTTGAGTCCAGGTACAATGTGTGTGTCTCTGCCTTGAGAACAAGATTCAACTCTCTGCAGAGCCCCAAAGATTGGGTGTTAAATCACTGCTATGCTGTTTTTGGATTTTGGGCTTTGCTGTTGTTTTAATTGTTGCCGTGTTAATGCAAGGTCTCACTATGCAGTGCAGGCTGGCCTGCAACTCACTATGTATTTGCAGTGATCCTCCTACCTCAGCCTGCTGAGTGCTGCGATCATAGCTGTCCGTCACCACACCCATACGGTGGTTCTTACAAGTCCAGGAAAAGCATCTCACACTGAGACAAACTAAAATACCTGAATTACTGTAGCAGATAGTGGAGGAAGCACTCAAGGGGAAGGGCATTTTGGAGTGGAGATTTCTTGAGGCCAGAAAACCTAAGGACAAACTGGGAAAAAATGAAGAGCCATTTCACCAAGAAATAAGCACTGAAGTAATGCAACACCATAAGACAAGCCCATGGGAAGCCCTGGGGCCGGAACCCATGGAGAGAGTGGCAGGGCACCACAAGGGACAGGGAAGGGGCAGTGCCCTGGGCTCCCAGGCCTGGAAGGTGGCCAGGCAGGGGCCACAGCTTTGTGTACCACTTCCAATGGGCCGGATAGCTCACAAAGTCTGCAACAGACTGCTCACCCCTGACTCTGCCTTTACTCCTCCCTCAGGACCACAAGAATGTGAAGTCACCCCAACAAGGACAGGTGAGGGGAGCACATGCCTGTGCCAGCTGAGGATTGAAGGGGCCACCAGCTCCTCTGTTGAAAACTCACTGCAATGCATGCCCACCATGGTGTTGAGTCAGACTCAGGAGACCAAGATGTCACTGAGATCGATGGTGTGTTGAGCTGCGCTGCTGTTGGCCAAAAGGTGATTGGCCACAAAAGGTGTCCTGGGACACATTCCATAAGCACTAGTGCCATAGCCAGAGAGCTGAGCAAAGAAGCCAGACTGTTCTTAGGGACGTTTTGAGGAGAAGAAACATGAGCCTCTCACACTGAAGCTACATTAGCTATTATGAAACGTGCCGCTGTACACATGTGTCTGCATGTATCATTCAGTAGTTTATTTATTTATTATTCTGGCAGTGCGAATCTAATTGACAGCCTTGTGCTTAGCAGGCAAGTGCTTGAACCACTGAGTTAATCCTCAGGCCTGCACATATCACTGTGTTATATGTTTTTGTGGGGAGGATACCTAGAAGAAGAATAGTTGAATCTTATGGAATTTCTATTTTCAGGGGTTTTTGTTTTGTGTTTTGTTTTTTAGTTTGAGACAGGGTCTTGCTGTGCAGTTCAGGCTGGCCTTGAGCTTACTTTGTAGCCCAGGCTGGTCTCAAACTTGCAGTGATCCTCCTGCTTCAGCCTCCCGAGTGCTGGGATGACCCAAGAGCTGTTGACCCCCACTTTGAATCCTCACGAGTTGATGTTGTTAGAACTCCTATTTCACAGATTCCTAAACTCCCAGCAGTCACCTCACTCGCTCTCCCTAGCTAACAAGTGGCAAGGGGTGCAGACCTGCTTAGCCTTTTAGTTCCAAGTGGAGTCCTACTGAGACACCTTCCTGTCACTTCAGCACTGCTTCCCTTAAGAATTCTCCCTTCCTGCTCCTGGTTCCAGCAGATGCTCCGCTGTGCTTCCCCCACCCTCCCACTCTCCCGCCTCCTTTTGCACACAGGCCAGTGTCCCCTTGAGATCCTCCAGCGAGCTGACTTGTGTGCCGTGAATGGGACAGTCCCAGGGAAGTTACATGGGTCTCACATTGTGGGCTTGCTGACCACCTTGGAATCTGAGGACGGTCCAGACAGGACCAAGACTAACACATCCCAAACCAAGATCCTCTCCTGATTGGGGCTGGCAGTTGAGATCAGGAAAGTCTGAGGCTCCAGCCTCAGAACACTTGGGGTGGGCCCTGCCATCTGATCACATTGGGCACATCTCTGCACCTCAGTCGGTTTTGCTGTAATGAGAACGAGATATTTTCAGTTAACATGCCCACAGCATAGGTCCTCTGTATTTTCTCCTTCCCCTTCACTTCCCGACTTTCTTTGCTCTTCTCCTTGGCACTTTGATGACGTGGGTTACCCTTCACTCTATGTTCTTTCTCATCCCTTCAATCCATCTCTTAGAGGTACCTTCTTTTTCCTCAGGGATATCAGAGCAGTATGTTCTGTTAAATTAAACTAGTATTTTTTCTATGTGTTTGCATCCCTGTAATGCCAGCACTCTGGGAGGCTGAGGCAGGGAGATAGC